AGTGGGCGCGGCGGTACGGCGGTGGCCTGTTCAGGCGTCAGCTTCGGGGCGGTCCCTACTGGCTTTGCGATGGGGGTAATGGAGATAGGCGGCAATGGGGCGAAGAGAGGGACATCCGTTGAGGCGCATGCGGCAAGCGTATTGTCTAGCGGTGGTTCCTCAACCGGAGGTAGCAGCATGGGTGGAGCGGGCGGCGGGGGCGGCTGCGGCTGCGGCTCGACACTGCTAGATGAGGGTTACGTGGACGAGATCTTCCATGGTGGGTTGAGGGAAACTGACCCATGGGTCGTTGTTGCGTGGGCAAAGCCTGCAACACTAGGTCGTCAGCCCATAGCCAGCTAGGGGTTGCTCCAATCATAACGTTTACTCACATACAAATGTTTTTTGTATGTATACGAGAGCTTGTTGCACCGCGCACCAGCGAAACCGCAAGGTATGTAAGGCTCTTTCCTCTCTAACCCTCCGCACCCCAAATGTCTGCAATTCCCTGCGGGCAACCTTCAATCACCTTCAGCTCTGGAGGCAGCGCCATGGTCCCCGCCGTACAATGGATCGTACGATGAAGGCCGTCCTCCTGCACCCTCGCGCTTCACGGCAGCTGAGCAGAATGTACGGAACCTGACAGCGTCCACAGCAGCAACTGCAGCAGCGGCATCAGGTTTCGTTCCAGGAGGCCAACCGAATGCATCGGCGATGCACGACATGCCGTCCTGCCTAAATGAGTGCCCTACTCCGGCACCCATGAACCAGCACCCATCACGCCGTCAACCACCACCGCAGCAGCAGCTGCAGCAATACCAACAGCAGCAGCAATACCAGCAGCAACAGCGATACCAACAGCAGCAGCAATTTCAGCAGCAGGAGCAGCAGCAGAAGCGGCACTTCCAGCTGCAGGGAACGCAAGCTGAGGCCGGCTTTGCAGCATTTGGTGACAGCTGCGCAGCAAGCGGATTGGGTGAGGTTTGCAGTCCGTACAAGCGTCCCCGGCTGCTGCAGCAGACTGGCGGGGCTCAGGGCCATGCGGATATGCCTCCGCTGGCAGCTCAGCAGCTCGTTTTGTCGGTATCACCCCGTGCTGGCGGTGGCGGCGAACTGACCCATGGGTCGTGGGATTTGGGCATGTGGCTCTGCGACTAAAGCTTTTCGGACGGCGCTTTGGGTTTTGTAGCGCGTGGTGGTTTTGGTTTTCGCAATTGCCAGGATAGAGTCGCTGCTACGGCTTCTCCTTGCACGCTAGGACTGAGTGCTTTGCTAATGTCGCGAGCACATGCATGCTTTCTTTCCACTTTGAGGCACACCGGTTGACAGTCGAAAGATGAGATGTGGGTGCGAGTGAAGTGTGATGGTGTGTGACGAGCGGATGCATTTGCAATTTTCCTGCGCTGGTCCGTGTCCGTCCTAAGCGCGCGCTGGGTGGCCCGTTAGAGTAGGAGGGGTCAGGCCCACCATGCATGCTCCGAGGCCTTGTTCTCGGCCTACGGAGCATATACGGAAGACAGGGGGGCTTTTTCCGGAGAAACTACTTTTTGGCCTGCCCTTGGTTACAGGCACTCCGTGAGGCGGCGCCGTGGAAGCAAGGGAACCGACTTAGGGATACCCCGGCCGATTGCTATGCATTTTTCATATTCATTTCATGCATGGACTCATCAGGAGTGCGCGGATCTTAAGCCTCTGTGATGAATGAGGCCTAGGCAGGCTTGCGTTTGTGCCGTCATGCTCGCGGGAGTGATAGTGGGTAGCAGTAGCGGCATGCACTTCGGGATGAAGACTTTGTACGACAGCAAAGCCGCGAATAGTATTGACGCAGGAGAAGAGGCAGGTGTGCCTAATCGTTGTTTAGTTGGGGTCTTGCCAGGACTTACTTGCCGCATCTGATGTGCGGGAACTATGGTCATGCGTGCGCGTTGAGCGAGGCGCAACGCATGCAGCGTGCAGGTTTCCCCTGATGGACTGATAGCTTGCACGCAAAAGCGTGCTATCCTTGTGAGCTTGGGGCCAAAAGTATGGTGGATTAGTATTATGCGAGCTAAAGTACACGTACGACAGAGTTTTGCTGGGCGTGGTTGACTGGGCGCTAATGTATATCCAGCTTGCGTGGGTTGTTTGGCCCCTGCTGCCGGTGCTGATCTTGCTGTTAATCTCGATGATGCTTATTGAGTAATGGTATGTTTTTCCAGGTGTTGCTGTCCTTCATTCACGGTTGTAGAGTACGGCTCTGACGGCGTTGAGGAGGATGATAAGAATTGTCGTGTAGGTAGGTACAATCGTGCTTATTAATTACACTGCTGGCTGTTTTCTGGTCTTCCTCGTTCTGCGTTTAAAGTGGTAGGAGCACTATGTAGAGTCTTGCTGGTAGAAGCAGGACTCCTTCATGATGGCGCTAGCCTCTCCAGCAGTAGAAAACGAAATATTCTAGTTGCCGTACCTCATCTGTTGGTGTCTGAACTTGGCAGTTGGCCGTTAACTACTGTGGCCAGGCGTGCCCAGATAGATCGGATGCCTTTAGAGTTGGTGGCGTAGACATTATTGATGCCTGATCCGGTTCTCAAAGCTGAAGCATGCGAGGTTCGTTGGATTAATTTGGAGTAGATAATACTGGGGAATTTGGAGTAGATAATACTGGGGATCTGCCTGCTGGGTTGCAAGAAGCTGTTGCCTAATCAGGACACGTCCAGTGCTGGTTTCTTTGCCCTCCACGTCTGCTGGTTGCGTGCGGTATCCCGATTTGCCTGGGGCCGCAGATCTTCGTTAGGGTTGAAGGTCGCAGTCTTGCCTTGTTGCAGCAGGGAATGCTGTACAGTAAGCACGGCAGGTCGCCAACAGCTAGTACGGCAGTGACGTCCTCCTTTCCTTGTTTCCTTAAGAATGGGAATGTTTCTCCTGCCTTTCCTCGTTTGAAGAGAAGAATGGGAAGTTTTGCAGAGAACCAGTATGTGTGGTACTGTTTCGTCGTACAGCTTGCTCTTTCCAGTCGTACAACGCGGATTTCAGCTTATATGATAAGCTACCGTGATGAACAGTATTGCTTTGGGCGCGTTGGGAAATGCGCAGCTGAGCTGCAGAACGCTGTACTGATTAAGCTTGCAGCAGGGCCCTTGTGCGTAATTATTCGGTGCCTTATTGCCTACTACTGTGCACCAGCAGTTGCCTAAGTAGGCCTGGGCCGCAGTGTGCAAGACCCTGTGGCATGGTATGTTGTCTTGCCGGCTTGTTGCCTTGCCTAAAAATGGCAGCTACTATGCTTGCCATGCAAAGGCCGTGCCACGCAAGGGATGCGTGCCAATGGATTGGGAAGTGAGAACTACATACGGTACGGTAGCTTAGGCGGCGCTATCAGCTTAGCGTCAGCGAGCACCTACAAGGCTTGTCCGTTGTCAGGGAGGGTACGTGTCATGCTTTCACAGCAGTATATATATGTGTGTGTTTTGCCCTTAACCACGCTGACTCCCTACCTGGTTGCTGCGATGAATGCAGCAGTGACCCATGGGTCTTTCTGATGGTATCTTGAAGTCGTGAGGTGTTCGTTGTCACTTGCTTTGTAGCCAGCGGGGAGGTAGGAAGCCGGCATATGGCGTCTCTTCAGGTAGCTAGGTGCCTGCTTAACGCGTGTCTCCTTGTCCTTGTCCTAGAGTAACTAAGGGCTCACTCATAGAGTTAGGTAATCTTGAAGATGAGCGCCGGATCACTGCGTCGGACCTCCGCTTGCCGCATTGGGCGAGGTAGGCCGCATTCGTGTACGTGGGATGTTGACAGCTGTCTGCTTCCTGCTGATATCTTCTTGGGTGTTTCGGTTCACCAGGTGCACGGGCCGTACGGCGATACTTGTCTACGGCGGTAGAATACAGCTGATCCTTCATTCAGAACTTGTCTTCCCTTTATTACCTGTGGCAGCCTGTGGGGACATTTGTTGTTCGTGATGGTGGTAGCTGTTTCCAGCGGCCGTGTTTGCAACGAATCGGTTTAGCGCCGAATTGCAACTTAAAGTTACCGTTGCTGCGGCCCATGGTGCGTGATAAGTTTAACTGTGTTCTTGCGGAAACGCAACGTTGTGCTGTGTCTTTGAGATGCAGTGTGTGGGTGTCGTGCTGTGAGTGCTGCCGTTGGACCTGCAAGAGGCCCCTGTTGTATGGTGGTATTCGACACGGCTGTCGTACGACCGCAAGCAGTACCTTGTTTTCTCCGCTGGATCAGCTGCAACATGTGTTTGTTATGTTTGCAACTCCAGATTTTGGCAGAGGGAAGTAGTTAGCTAAGGAGCAAGGGAGGTTTCTAGTCGTTACCCGCTGACGTTTTGTAGTAGATATCAGCGTCAGCACGTGGCTATGTGCGGGGCAATGGCAAGATGGAATATTCAGCGATACGTCAGCGTCTCTTTGGTAGCATGCAGCTTTATGGAGGGACAGGGAGGCGCCGATTGCGGCAGTGAGGAGGATAACAGACCGTAATGGTCTTTATGAAGGGCTTCGGCTGCTGAGAGGCGCTTGTTGCTTGTCCCTTGAGAAGAGGCGGAAAGGGGTCCAAGGCAAACTGTTGTACGGCTGTCCGGACGCTGCATCAGAGAATTGATGCCCCGTACAATTTCCTTGCATTCGAGCTGCTTGCAAGGGGTGACAGGCGAGGTTGCTGTGGTAGCCATCGATGCATATCTGTCCAGCTTGTAACCCTGCGCCAATATGTACAGCTGGAAGCGCGCCTCTCCCTGCCCCGGAACCACCAGCTCGAGTACTGAAGAATATGAGGTAGTAGGCACAAACTAAGCGCGACTGGCGGATGGCAGAGTGTATCATGGAGTGTAGGCAAGCGCTTTCACAGCAGCGGAGCCAATTTAGCCAAACGCAGTACGTGTGGTCTCCACAATTTTTCGCCCGGCTATCCCCATAGGGCCCGCGGCCACAGGTCATTGGGTATCTGCTGCCTAAGTCAGTGAAGCTGAATACGCAATGTGGACACGTGCGTGTAAGTGCAGGTACAAACAGGTCCGCACCTTGGCCCTGTCAGCCTCCAACCAGGAAGGTTACTTGGTGCGCTTGACTGGTGGCCCCATGTGAAGCAGCGTTACCTTCTAGTCATTTGGCCACAAGTGGCCACATCCAAATTGGTCCATACACGAAGGGCTGCCTGGCAGGCGCTGTTCCATTCATGTCAGGCAAGGCACGGCCTGTGCCTCTATCTATATGCCTTTTCCAGTCGATCGCCGCGTCTACTGATAGGAGTGCCTGTGTAGTGCTCTCCTCCCATTAGTCCCGAGGCATCAGCAACAACGGCTAAGCCGGCTAATCGTTGCAATCATGGCTCACTAACCCACACGACCTCTTCAGCCATAGCCATTACTATCTACCTTCAGACCAGCACAGCTGATGGAGCACTTCAGTCCTGCAGCTCATTTCCGCGTCGCAAACATTGACGGCATGCGGGTTGCCAACTACGGACCTGCAACATGCTCAAAGCAGCACCAACCCCTCAACCAGTAAACAGAACTCCCCAACATCCACAATGTTCCGTGGAAGTATTGACCGTGGCAGTATTGACCAACACCTCTGCAACTCCGTAGCACTGCATCGCTTCCTAACGGCATGCGGTCCCGTAGCATGTGGCGCTGATGCCTCAGGCCGCTGGCACTTGGCAGCAACCTCGAGCAAATCCTAGACACTACAATAACAAGCTGCTCACGGGCATATCCAGCCATAGATGCCTTCAAAACACTGCAGTCATGTATACTACAGTCTTTGGAATTATGGGCATACTGGTAGCTCCCCTAACATCCAGGTCTTAAATTGACACTAAGATGCTCAACTCGCGCGTGCGGCTACGACAAGGTCCCGCCAGGTTATGCATCCTGCACAGTCAGACTACCCAATGCCACGCGAGAAACTGTAACTATCTTCCATTACCCACCGCCTACCTACCCACTCGCACCCACCTGACCGCACGCCTCCTTGTGCCCTGCCTTCCAATGCGCCACCTGGCACTCCCTGCAGCAGTAACCCACCTGCCCGCACCGCCCACACGCCTGCAGCTTCACCTCCGCCTCGCTGTCCTCAGCCAGGTTGCTGCAACCCGGGTTGCCGCAGCCCCGCAGCAGCCCCCGCCGCCGCAGCTCCGCAGGCTCCAACAGGACCGCCGCAAGCTCCACATCCTCCATAAACGCCATGCTAAGCCCCATCCGCCGCAGCAGCGTCGGGCAGTCCTCATCGGCAGGAAGAAACGGGCCGCTGCCGACGGCCGCCCCGCTGCCTCCAGCTGCACCGGCATCTCGCCACTCCTCCAGCTGCGCCGCCAGGGCCTCCGCCGAAATGCACACCGGATCCATGCTCAGGCCGCCGTCGTCGCTCTGCAACCAGTCCTCCTCCAGCATTGGTACCAGCGCACGCAAGAACTGGGGCTGCCAGCCCTCCGGTGTTGGCGCCAAAGCAGCCCGCCGTACTTGCTGCGGGAATGCCGCAGTTGTGATGCAGCAGCTGCCAACCAGCGCCCGTGCTGAGATAAGCTCGACCTCGTCTGTGTGGCTTCCGCTCAGCCGCGTGGTCACGTACAGCTGCAGTACGGAGCCCAGCAGCGGTACGACATCCACCTCCGTTAGCAGCAGCTGCCGCCAATCGCTGCTGCCAGCGCCGGCGTCACCAGCACCGGTGCCGCTGCGGGCCTCTCTCATACTCCGGAGGACAACGGCAGGGAGCCAACGTAGCACCCTCTTCGCGAAGAGGAACGCCGTTTGCAGCCCACTGTCGCTTCCGACGTCCAGCTGCTGTATCACCTCCTTTGTTATGCGTGACAGCGGCGGCAGCCACTCCCATGCCACGCACGAGGGCAGCACCGTACGGCGGCGCACGGAGGAGGCTGAAGCCCCGGCTGGCGCTGCCACCTCGGCAGTTGCATGAGCAATGCTTGTGCTTCCTCCCTCCGGCTCTGCATCATGCTCGGCGTCCCAAGTCGCCGCCCACTCCTCAACTATTGCCGTAAAGACATTCACGTAAATGTCGAGGGGCCTCAGCGGGCTGTCCGACGGCGAAGGTCCCCTTGCAATGACCCGTGGGTCCTTCCGCCGCAGTACCTTGCCCAGGGTGGCCACCAGCCCAGCAGCTTGGCGAGGCGGGCAAAGTAAGAGGGACACCGCAAGGCGCTCCAGGACGGTGGTCCCATGCTCGCCGCCCGGACACAACAGCTCTTGCAGCAGGATTGCCTCAGGCCCGCTGGTGTTGGCCCCAGCCCGGCGCAGCAGGAGCTCCAGGCAGGGCAGCAGACCGCCCGATAGCGCACCTACACAGAAATGGCAAGTTTAGAAAGCATGAAGCCCCGTTAACGGCGGTCCCTATCTTGCTAGGCGCCCATGGGGGGCACTCAGGATAGTACATAAAACCTGTATCAAGCAAGCCGTAGTCCGACGTATGCAGCATGGCAAGTTGCGAACAGGCCATTCCAGGGCCTACCTTCCAGGCTCAGACGCTGCGAGTTCTGCTTGTCTCCCTCCACCTCCATCACCAGCTGCTCCGAAATCTCCTGGGCTAGGAGGACCGCATGCCTCTCAGTCGCCACGACTAGGACATGCCGCGCCACCGCACCCACCAGCCGCCACCACTCCGTCGCTGCCGCAAGCCACACAGCACAGGCCGCGGCCGATGCGGCAGGGCCGACCGGCATACGCCGCATGAGCTGCCGCGCACGCCTCACACCGTTCATGGCCGCGTCTACAGCATGAGACGGTTGCAGCACAGCTTTCAGCCCAGCTTGTGATGAGATGGTGGCGAGAACAGCAGAGACGGCGGAGTTTAGAAAGTCGTGGTCTACTTGTACCGACATTGCCACTGCCATGGCCGTCTCGAGCGACCTCACAACCCGCACCGACCCCACACCCAACTCCGCAACACGGAGAGCCAGCAGCCAGCCTGCACGCCTGCCGCTTGTCGCGGCTACGATTGTGGGATCCAGGATCTCCAGGATGGTCAGGATGGATCTGGGATCCAAGACCTGAATGCCACGGCCAACGCCCATGCTGCCGCTGTACTCCACACTCGTGCGCTCCACGAGCCCTGCCGGCAGGCCATAGGCGGGGCCGTCGTCCCCCGCACAAAGGGACGCCAAACCGTGCAGCAGGGCTGCGTGATGAGCGCACCGACCGGACAAGATTCCGCCCAGCTGGTCGGCGACGGGGGCGCTGGCAGGAGACGCTTCCATCCCAATAATGTGCGTGCGGAGAAAGCCGATGCAGCCGTAGGCTTGGATGAATGAGCTGGCGGCATGCCGCAGGACTACAATGTCATTGTCCTGCGGCTGCTGCTGCTGTAGCCCCTTGGCCGCCGCCTCAAGCCGCAGCAGTAGCTTGGCCGCGTGCTCCATCACGCAGCTGTCGAACAGGGCGGCCGCTAGCTCGGAGCGGTAGAGGCGCCGCTGCCGCTGTCGCTGCGGCGGCGATTTGGACCACAGGTAGTCTTCTGGAGTGGTGGCGAAGAAGATGACGGCCTTCAGGAGCCCAAAGGCAGCGTCGGCAAAGTATGCGGCAAGCATGACCGCGGCCTTCAGAGCCTTGGCCTCCGCCGGTCGCATGCGCTGCCACTGCGGCTGTTGCTGCTCGTTAGGCGGGTTGGTCACGACGACGTCGAGCTGCGGCAGGCTCGCCGCCACCGCAGCCATCTGGCGACTGAGCGCCTGCAGGCTCTGCATGCGCAGCAGCTTGCGGCCAAAGTCCAACACGTGAGGGGGGAGCGGGGCGCCGGAGAGGCAGCATGCATGCCGCAGGGAGGGTGAGATGCAGGAAAGTACCACTGGGAAAGCGCTCGCGATCGGGTGGCGAACCGGGACGGTAGAGGTCGGTTTGGGAAGCTCCTCGATCGGCACCCGTAGCCCGGCTGCTAGCAGCCGTAGCAGCGAGGTACGTAAGCCCTCGCTAGCCAGGATATCTGCCACGGCTGTGGCCGCGTAGGAGTTCTTCCCGAAATCTTCGTGACTGCATGGTCCGTCCAAGGTATCGGGCAGAGATGAGAGGAAGTCCGAGATATCGCTGAGGTCTTGGAGGGCAGCATCTCGTGCGTCAGTACGGGCTCTACTGCGTACGGCAAAGAAGGCTTTGGTCGCAGTCGGCAGCCGCTGCACGCAGCTCCGGATAGCGGCTGGAAGGCGATCTTGCGCGGATGCTCTGTCGTTGCTACTGTTGATGCCTGAGTCCCGTTGCCGAGTGTCCAGCCTTGGTTGTCTGCGCCTAGTCATCTCTGAATGGTATGGATGGCAAGGGCCTCCAAGAGCTATGGACGCGCGGTCAACCCACACAGCTCGGCGTCAATATTGACCCTGAGGGCGGGACACCAAAGGTGGCCCCAAGGGCAAAGCAGGTAGCTTGCTGGCAATGCTGGGTTCGTTACTCGGCACGATTCTCTTGGTTTTTCTAGCAAATGCTAATAAACGCAAACACTGATGTCATAAGGTATGGTTGCTTTAGGTAGATGCTCCCTCTGCTTTCGAAAACAAGGGCAAGCAATGACAGTAGCCCTTCCATGCCTCCATACCCTTCAACCCCTGTCTTACCCGAGTCAAAGCCATTCCCGTGATTTGCGAGCGAACGAATTCGCGCTATCCCCTTACAAGCGCCGCGTGACAATGAAGCCCAGTGAAGGCAGGGGCTATACCTCTAATTAAAATGTTCTAGGCGACATACTTAACGAAGTGGCAAGTGCATCGACTAATACAAATTACGGGAATTTAAAGGAGAAGTTGAAGTCAATAGTAAAGATTTGGCGCGTACCATACCGATAGTGAAGGTACTCACAAAGGGTCCTCTAATGCCTGGTTCAAACGTTTAAGCCCAATGGGACGCTCCTATTGTTTTCTTTCTATCCTTCAAGTAGCACTTTGTTATGGTACGGCATGGATGATGGTACGTAAGCAAGCAAGGATAACGCGGATTTCCCCACGTCATCCTAATGCAGCTAATGTACAATCGCACATATATACCCATGATAAGCGGACTGAGCTGCAGAGGCTTAAGCAGAGGCGCTGTTGGTTAAGTGAATGACAAAGAAAGCCCGGCTGCAACGCATGCACATTCTTGCACAGGGATCATGGCTGTACCGTGCAGAGCAATTCCTGCTGCCAAAATAGGCATACCATGTTTCAGTATCTCTCTAGGCACCCCTTACAGCGCTACAAGACAGTTTGTGTGACAGGGCCAACGCATCATGAGTAATGCCCTTCCTTTCCTTCTCTAGTACAGGGCGCATGGCTTGGTGCTGAGGCCCGAAGCAAACCTTGCACATCACAATACAACAAAAGCATGCAGTGTCGTAAGTCCACAACAGTGTCGCGGTTGCCCGCCAGGGCCGGCAGGGTGGCCAGGGTCTGGTGGTATTAATAGATACTTGTACACCTCCTAGCACCGAAGTGACTGTGAGCAGCAACCAGAGTCAGGGAAACCCACATTTCCGTTGAGCGAGGAAGCAGGATCTCGAAGAAAGAGAGGCTCTCATCATCCTTAGCAGCTGATCCCCACACGTACAATAACTTGGCAAAAAACAATAGCCACGAAGCCAGCAGGCCCAGGAAAATTGCAGTTTGTAACCCTTTGATACGATACGGGAAGGCCGGGTTGGGTAATATAATTACTAGTAACAATCAAAGCGGTCAGGAGTGCCCTCCACACTTCCTACAAACCTACACGTCATCGGTAGCTACTGCTCATCTGCCCACTTCACCCCACTCCGCTCCTTCCACGCTCGACTGCTGAATGCTACCTCCAGCTGGCCCCCATGGCTCCTGCTTGCTGTGCCTTCGAGCCCTCTCCCGTAAGCCTCCGGCCTCTACATTTCGGTTCCTGCTCGTTTTTATGCTACAATGCACCAACCAATTCCAACGGACGTGCCGCATGCAAGCAAAATAAAAAGCCAAGCAATGTGGTTCAATGTGGTTCCGTCCGTCATGCACCGAATAATGCAATGGCTCGGGCAGCAAGCTGTGCGCCTGCTTGGCCGCCATCCAATTCTCAACTGTAACCCGTACCTCAACCGCTTGTTGCCACGCTCACATTGTTCCAATAAACACGAATGCTCAATTTAAGCCCATTGCCGCTGCTCTCAGCGCTCTCAGCTGACACCTCTGCTACAGGACGGATTCTCTACACTTGGCTAACATCGGTTGCCCCTGGGTTGCCCCGTCTAGCCATGGAACATAGATAGCCTCGGTAGTCATAATGATCAGAATGCAAGCAGCAGCCGGCAACCCCATAGAACGCTTTGCACCAATATACCCACGACTCCGTTTAAGGCCATTCCTGCAGCTCCAGTCAGGGCATGCAGCTTGTGGACCGATCAAGGCGATGAGGCACATCGTCTGCTGTTAGTTGACGGCCGTGCTACTGCTGCTGCTGTTGTCGTTGTCGCTGTTCCTGCTGATGCATTTGCTGCAGTTCCTGCAGTTCCTGCTGCTGCAATTGCGGCGGCAGCACCGGAAAGCCAGCTAACAGCTGCTGTTGCAGCTGGAGAGGGTGCGGCCATGACTGCAGAAAGCCCGACTGCGCCCCCGGCAGCAGGCCTGGCTGTAGCTGCTGCAGCGGGCGCAGCTGCTGCTGCAGCACCTGCGGCTGTCCTGGAAGGCAGCCCGCAGCGGAAACTGACATGGGCCGAGGTGGCAGCGGCAAGAGCGGCGGATCTGAAGGATCCGGTCGGATCGTCAGGCATGGCACTGACATGGATGGGGACAAAGCAGCTGGTGGCGGCGGCTGATGACGTCTGGACGCTGTTGGCGTCATGCCCAACACGACGTGCGAAGGATACTGCGCCCTGGGCATTAGAAGCTGGAGCTGCTGCTGTTGCTGCTGCGTTTGCAGGGGTTGCAGTTGAGGAGGCTGCTGATGAGGCGGCGGCGGCGTACTTGGTGTCTCAGCGACAAGGTGCAGCGGCCCCATCTGTTGTTGCAGCAGTTGTGCTTGTAATAACTGCAGGTGTGATGGCGATTGCATTCCCAAGCGCCCTCCAGTAACTGTCAATGGGGTTTCAGGACATGGCAAGTTATGCTGAAATGCCGTGACTGGCGCTGCTGCAACACCCACTTGACTGCCCTGCGCCTGCGCCTGTAATGGCGACGGTGGCAAATCAAGCGGCGCACTGACCCGTGGGTCGGTATGCGGCTTTCTCGCCGCCGCCTCCTCTGGGCTTGAGTCGGGCAGCTGGCTCCATTCCGCAGCTAAGGCCGCCAGGGCCGCCGTGTCATCCGCTGCTGCAGCTGCTTCCCGACAGCTGCTAGTGCCACTCTTCTCTGAAGGAATACCTACAACCAGTCCGGCCGCTGATGCCGCTACTGCTGCTGCTGCACCATGCTGCAAGCCGCCGCCCTGACCAGCAACGCCGCCACCCTCAGCGCTTTCGCCTCCTGCATTGCTGTTACGCCGTGTCAGCAGCTCTAATCCAATTTCCATAGCGCTTCCTACCGATACCGGGGACCCACCCAACAAGCGGTCACACTCTGCCGAGCTTCCAAGTACTAGGTTCACGTCACCTACACCGACCTCGGGACCCAAGGTGACAGCTTCAGCACCACCCCTTTTCTGGCCTCCAGGACCACCAAGGGGGCTCGTAGCCGGTGGAATGTCCGGTAGTGCTCCGGCCGGCGCCGACGTTTCTAGTAAGGACTGGAATGGCTCCTCGGCCAAAAATGCGGCCGGCGCCTGCAAGCCTTGCGGCCTGACAGGCCCAGGTTGCACTACGCCGGGCACTGGGAGCTGGTCGACCGCAGTAAGAGGATCTGGAATTGAAGCATGCTGCTCTAGCTCCCGTTGCGTCCGGTCTGATTGCTGGTTGTGCTCCTGCTGCTGCTGCTGCTGCTCCTGCGGTTGTCGTTGTTGCTGCCTCTGCCACTGCTGTTGTTGACGGCGTTGTTGTTGCAATAGCATATGGCGCTGCAGTAGGAGCTGTTGCTGTTGTTGAAGCAGCAACTGCTGCTGCTGTTGCACCTGTTGCAAATACCGCAACTGTCGCATCTGCTGTTGCTGCTGCAGCAGACACAGGTTCAGGACTTGGCTTCCCCTGGACGTCGCCTGCTGCACTGCAACACCCTCCTGCTGCTGCTGCTGCCCATGCTGTAAATCCGCTGCTTCAGGCCCTCCTAAGCCAGCAGCGCCTGGCGCCGTACGCCGCTGGCCGTTGCCGCTGCGTTGTCGCTTAGAACCGCCGCCGCTGCTGGCGGCAGCATCAGAACCACCAGCCCCACCTCCCGCGTGCTGCTCTGACAGCACCATGCCACTACTGCCGCAGCTAATGCTCATGCTGCTACTGCCGCCTCCACCCCCAATACTCATAGCAGCAGCTGCACCTGCGGCTGTTGCGGTGGCGGCTGTGGCAACAACGCCGGCGGCTGGACTCGCCAGCATTCCCCCAGCCTTGGAAGCCGCCAAATTGGGATGCTGCAGCCGCTGGCCCAGCGGTGCCAGTTGCCCTAGCTGCGTGCCTGCAGCCGCAGCTGCAAACTGCCCGCCAGCTGCCGTAGGTGCCGGCGCCAGCTTTCCGGTGAAAGGAGCCACTGCCCAGACCGAGTGACGTGTCTCACCACCATGGCTGCCCAAAGCCCCTCCCACCGCCCTGGCGCCGACACCTCCCTCGACCCATGTACCAGCCCTCGCCCCGGCCCAAGCATCGCCGCTTTCGAAAGGGCCTAGCGGACTGCAGAACTGCCCGGGACTTCGGGCACTGCCTGCCAGCCGGAGAGTTCCTCCGTCAGTACCACTTACGCTGCGGCCTTGCCCTCCGCGCTGTGTGCTGAGGCCACCACCACCACTCCTACCGGCGGCAATGGTGCCGCTGGCAACAGCGCCCTGCCGGTCAAGCACTGCAGCTGGTGTCTGCGGCTGCTGCATGCTTTGCTGCTGGCTGCTGGCGGTTGTAGGAGGTCGCTGAGCTGGGCGATCAAGTAAGACCGGAGCAGGTTGAGGCAGTCCGGTGTCGATGACAGCAGCCACTTGGGAGGTTGCAGGAGCAGTCGCCGCAGCCTCAGCAGCGGCGGGCATGGTTGATAGGCCATCGCTGCCTCCGCTTATGCTTTCGTCGTCTTCAGCCTCCTCGTTCTCCTGCTCAAGATCATCTGCGCTACCGCTGGGTGAGTCCGCCTCGCCTATGGAAACCGCCATACCTGCTATTAGTTCTAACTGGATGCCACCTCTGCAGTTCTTTCTACCGGCTGCAGCAGCCGCAGTGGCAGTGCCTGTTGCAGCTGCGGCAGCAGTGCTCCTGCTGTCGCCGCCAGCCTTCCCAAGCACCTCATTGGCGGCTGAGGGAAACGGAAGCACGTCCGCTCGCGGTAGCAGCCACTCATCGCTCTGAACCGTCGCCAGCGGCGCCGAGTTGTATGTTGCTGCAGGTGAGAAGGCTGCTGCTGCTGCTGCTGGCGCGGAAGGCCCCGGCCCTACACCCAACTCCTCTACCATCAACCCGTATACAGTTGCTGCTGCGTCGGCAGCAGGGCTCATGGGCCCTCCAACGCCTCCCACGCCGAGACCAGCGGTGCCAGGTGCGCCTGCACCCCAGCTCCACCTCCCCGGCAACATGGGTACGCTGCTGGAAGGGACGGGGGGAGCCATGCTGCTATGGGTGGCAGCAGCAGCAGCAGCCTGCAAAGCAGGGTCGGAGCTCATTATGGGTGCGCTTGCGGCGCGGATCCAGCCCTGCGGTGGTTGTGGGGTGAGGTGCTGCAGGGATGGCGACAAATGTTGCTGATTGGAGTGGCAGGGTTGCCAATGCGGGAGCTGCTGCTGTGCTTGACTCCGCTGGCGGGCACGATTCTTTGCCAACATGACTCGGCAGGTCCTGCGAGCAAGTGTGGAAGGAAAGGAAGGAGCAGGCTCACGCAAGGGCGCTACAGTGGCTCTTCAGAAGTATCAGTTGCGAGGAAGGAGGCAAAGGACATTCGGTCCCATGTACGGACGTCATGAGCTCCCACTTTACTGTCCAAGCACACCGCCAGACGCCTAACATTCCGAATTCATTATATCCACAATGAAATCGTGAAGAAAAGTACCCCCGACAACCTGGCTAGGATGCTGCCGCTGCAAAAGGACCTGAAAACACCACCCCCAACTGACCGGTTTAAGCCTTCAAATTCCACCAGCGGGTGAAAGCGAGAACACTGTTGGCAGAAGCGGCTTCGAACGCCGTCCACTAAGATACACGGTGCCTTGATGTGTTCGTTGCACAAGCGAAACCGCTGATGCGTCTTGGGCGCGTTTTCCAGATTGGCATTGCACCCTTCTACCTGCGCAGACAGCATCAAGGCGTTTCAAATGTCATTCATCGCATATGCATGATGCATTCCTTGCACGAAAGGACCAGGACAGCTAAACCCCCCGTTACTGCAATTGTACGCAATCAGTGGCGCCTATCAACGAAAGGAACTCCAATAACTGAGGAGGATTAGGAAGCATCCTAGCAGAAAACGCTACGGGGCGACCAGACGGACAGGTTCGGTGGTTTACCTTGCATCTTAAGGGCGCAGAAGGACGACGGGTACTTCCTCCTCCGCCATCATCGCTGGGATCGTCTTGCAGAGTAACAATCCGTGGTAGCAGCAGGTCGCTTTCCGACATCATCGCCATATTAACCCAATTGATGAGCACTTCTTTCACATTTATCAAAATATAAAAAGCAGCACGCATAAAACTCGCATGAGGTCTTAGGCATTATTTTGCACGTGGGCTGGATTCCTTCCTATATTAGCATCTTTACGCCTTCGATGTCATTGGACCATCTTGTAACCGTCTGACAATAGACACTATACAGCGCTTTAATTAGACGCTCTCAGCTAGGCAGTTAGGGCACTTTCCGCGTGCACGGACTTGGATCATCTCGGCAAATGTTTAATGCAGCCTTATAAGGACAGTCTTGCATCCTGGCGGTGCTTACACCTGCAGAAGAGTCTAACGCCAGGATACGAATATACCGTATTCGGCTTCCTAACGCACCGTACTGTACTGTCATCGGCATATTCAGTTCGCGGTCTTCGCGCCGGGAGCTCTGTGCTAAACATTAAGGCATTTGGTACATAGGTTACAACTGTACCGGTATCTGCATCTGATGTATACTACTTTGCTTTTGCCTGTTTTGCGCTAGGACGTTAGCTTGCACAGATGCCGGCTCAATGCGCCCTTGCTGCATGCTGTTAATGATCATTAAAGAGTGCCTATCTACGATTCTAACGCGTTAACCGGTAACCTTCCGGCAATGGCTACATTTCAACTGGTTAGGTGCTGGTTGGCCTCAGCAGCAAAGCGCAAGACGACCGCACACTTGCGGCGGTGTTGCTTGAAGTTGTTTCAAAGGTATATACTGCCGGCAAGCGGCATTTTGACGCGGCTATAGCTGTTCCGTCGTCGCCGGCTCTCCGTCTACCTAGCCCATACAATAGCGTAGTGCGGATACGAACAGGCACGCCTCTGCCACCCTGTTGATGCTGGCATAGATGTCGTCGCAGCCGTACGCGACCCCCATCACCTTTGTCTGTGCTCTACCTTTTGGGCAAGACCTCCAGGGTACCCCGGGGCAACTTTTTCTTACCAGCTGGAAAGCTTGCATCGTTTCACATGCCTAGGAGTCAATGCAGCAAGCAGCGAACGCTGCATCCCGCGTGATAACTGCGGATAATTGACGAGTTTCCGTTAAGTCCCGTCCAACGGCTCTGACAGTCGAAAACTTTTTCGAATGGCCACGTCAATGTAGGCACCAGACATGGTCCGGTCCTTTGGGTCAGGCTCTCATATGCAGGATGCCGGCTGTCGGCTGTAGCAGAAGGTTGAACCTCGTTAACCTTTGCTGGCCTTGCCTGAAACTCCAAGACTCTGCTCAAGGTCTTATGCAAGTGAAAGCACAACATTGTAGCTAGAAAGGTAGGCATCAAAGCGTTAGGAACTCTCGGTTAGTGCCGAACCTTGTACAGCGCGATTGCAGGCGCAACCGATACCGATCAAGTGCCCAATCAAGCACAAGCCAATCTCCGTTGTGCACATCATAGAAACCGCAAGGTTGCAGGCTTTTGCAAGCTGAACTTAACAGCTGAAGGACGCTGTGAGCAGATCCTTGCCAATCTTGCTGCTCCTAATTAGCGCGCTGCGCCTTCTGCCGACACACTCCGCTATGGCCACGCTTCGGACGCTGCCTTTGCTATTCACTCTCTTCGGCTTCTGCCTGACCACGTGGGGAGTCCTTTACTCCTGGCGCAGCGTGGAAGGAAGCAAGGCAGCTGGGGGCGCCAACCTCTGGCTCCAGCACAACTGGCGCCGCAGCATCCTCTTCCTCTTCTGGGCCGCCAGCTTGCTTGTAGGAACCACCAGCCTCACCACCGCATGCTCCCTTCACCGCGGCATCATCCGCAATCCCACGGTTGCGGTCGCTCTGTGGGCTGCTAAGAGCGTCTTCCTGGTCATCATGACCATCCTCCTGGCAACTGACGTCTTCACCCAGCGTGTGCCGTACTTTTTCGGCATCGGCGGTACCTGCATCGCGGCTCTGTTCCTGCTGACGGCGCTGAACTGGGCACGCAGCCCGCGTCCGCGCACGCGTGGCGACTACCTCATCCTCGAGGGCTATGCGCTGATTGTGAGCGCTACGTGGTTCACTTGCGGCATCAACACCACTCCTTCGTTTGCGCTGGACCCTGCCTGGCAGCGTGCAGGCGCCGCGGACGCCACCGCCGTGGCGCACATCGTCATGATTCTGGGGTGCTGTGGCTGGGCGTGCACGGCCGCGGGACACCACCTGAACAACGTGGACGCGTCGGCGATGGCACGCTAGGCAGGAGGCGTGTACGGCAGGCCGAAGTTGGTATTGAACAAGAGGGACGTTGTTGGTACCGGAATTGCAGTGCAGCCGCCTCCGACTGGGGCTTGGTTGGTTGCTGTAGCATGAAAGCAGCGGGGCGCGGCTTGTGTTCAGTAAGGGGAATTTGAAAGGGCAGAGGCCGCAAGCCTTCTAGGATTGCAGGCAAGGAAAGGGTTACCGTGTAACCGTAGGACATAGGGCTGTCGTATGGTGCAGGCTACAGCGCCGAGGACTGTTGTCACGTTGCAGCCAAAACGACAATTGCACTCGTGCTGTGGGGGGCTGCCTTGTAAAGCGGTTTGGCTCAGCTGGCAATGGGTTGCTTTCGATAACCAATGGATAGCCAACGGTCCACCGCGGTTGAGCCAACGTGTTGGGAGAGTTGTTTCGTATTGCAGGAAGACAACAGATTGAGATGGGACAAGAACGTACATGGCCTCTGCGGGCATGTAACTGCAGGTACCCTTGTTACGATGGTGTGGGCTTCTGTCTTGGAGCTCACAGCAAAGGTTCGTGGGGACAGCTTTAATCCTTTAAATGCACCTTGTCCCGGCCAGCCTCACATGAAATTAGTCAATGACACACGCATACTCAGACACATGCCCTGTCCACCCGCCCTTCCTCTCCTGCGCACTTCCTCTCATGTTCCGAGGGTTCCCTCATCCGCACAGCCTCCTACGTACCCAAAACCTGGCACATGCTGCCCTCTAGCACTCGCAGACCGCTATTTCCCAGGCAGAGGCAGTGCAAACGTTGTTTTCAGCTGGATCGCGGGCCTGCGCCCAGCGGCCCCCACTGCTCCCGCGGAAGGTCCCGCAGTGGGTGCTCCTGCCGCGCCAACAACGCCGAACTGCTGCGGTGCTGCAACGCCAGCGCTAGCCCCGCTTGCAGCAGCCGCTGTGCTAGCTGCAGCAGCGGCAGCAGCAGCCTCCCGTAGCGCGGTTTGCAGCCGCAGCTTGGCAGCAGCCGGCTGTGCTGCTAGGTGCGTCTTAAAGGCGTTCCCAGCGGCTGAAGCGGGCAGGGAGGTGATGAGCTTGATCGCCATGTCCCGTAGTGCGGGTGTCACTGCTGCCGGGCCCAATGCTGGAGCCGCCAGCTCCACTAGCAGCGGCACAAGTACCTGCAATGTTTAGGTGATGAGGAGGAAGCTCAAGAAAGTATTGGTGGCGGTGATGTTGATGTTGGTATAGACGAATGCGAGAGACAACAGCTACCAGTAATATCTAATATGCCCATTCACACGGTATGCAGGTGTACATCTTGAACCGCCTCACGTCATTACTGGGACGTGCGGAACCATGGATTGCGTATTTTCTCCACCACCTCCTTTACCGCCCTAATAGTTGTGTTTTCCGCACTGCACCCTGGCGTAGCAACCGCACCTGCATGACTCCATCCTGGGCAGCTGCGCCCTGCGGACCCGCCAGTGTCGCCCCCACCACAAGCAGCTTCACACACTCGGCCACCAGCGCCTGCTCCTCGCCTGCGGGTGACGGTTCAATCAGGGTGTGCGCTGAGAATTCGAAGACCGCACAGGCAGCATTCATGTGACGAACCGGAACTACCGGTATGACCCATTAGGTGTAAATCGTACGGCATTACTAGAGGTTCTCCTCAATCCTCCAACACGTCCATTGCCCTCGAGAGGCGCAAACAGTCATTGGTAGCAACACAGGAAGTGGCACGCTACCGATGTTCAAGGCGTGGAACACATGGGCCCCCACCTGATAGCGGCTGTCCTGCCTCAGCCAGCAGCACCCCCACACGCGCCACCGCGGCGGGGCTCAGGGTGCACAACAGCAGCCGGCACCACCGCCCGCGCGCTGATGCCGCATCCTCCGCCGCCGCCTCCTGAACCGCCGTTCGTACGGCTTCCAGCACCGCATGCGCCGCCGCTGGCGGCGTTTCCGGCCCCAGCGCCGCCGCTAAGACACCGAACGCGCAGCTCCTCGCTCCTGCAGCTGAAAGCGTCGCGCATGGTATCGGTAGCGTGCCACTTCCTGTCGCAGCCTCCCCGCCCCTTCTGCCACCAGCGGGCGGCGGAGATGCTCCCGGCGAGCGGCCCCCGCCAGCAGCCGCTCCCCCGCCGCTGCGAGATGCTCGCCGTCGTACGGGAGAGCCACCGCTACCGCCGCTAGATGACGAACGACTCGGTCCCGACCCAGATGCAGATCCGGATCTGGATCCCGACCCCAGCCCGAACCCTGCCGCCGTCCTATGACTGCTACCGCTGTGGCTATGGCTGCTGTGGGCACTGTGTGATGTTGTTGCGGAGCTGGGGGACTCCGTGGTGAACACGGAGGCAGTGCACGCCAGCAGCGGTACCACCAGTGCAGCAAAGCGGCCTGACAGCAGGGAGTGAGAAGGAGCGCCGTTCTGCTCGTTTCCGTTTGTACGCTGCGCACGGCCATATGCGCCCTCGCTTGCGCTGCCTGAGCTGCTTTCCCCTCGCCCATCTTGCCTCTGAAGCGCCTTCAAGTGCAAGTCTGCTGCATCGGACAAGGCAACCACCGCTGCAGCAGCGTAGGCTGCTGGCGAGGAGGAGGCCGGCGCCGCCGTTGCCACCGCAGTCTCGGCGGCACTACCGCTGGTTGGTTGCGGGCTTGTTGAAGCGCCAGCTGCAAGCGCAGCAACTGCGTTGTCTAGGAAACGCTGCGCCGCTCCTACTATGGGGGTCCCGGGTGCCGTGGTCAGGATGAGCCGCAGCGGAAGCTCCAGGAGGGAACCCAGGTGAGGCTCCAGGGAGGGCCAGGGCGCCCTGCGTAAGTATGCAGGGGCAGCAGGGGAGCAGGAGTGACGGTGACTAAGAGCCGGGCGGGTTGTGAACTGGGCATGCAGACGCAAACGGTAATTGCATGGCGGAGCATGCGGGCAATCTCCCTGCGCTAAGCAGCAATATAAGCGAAGGTGACAGGCAGGCTTCCAGTAAAACGCGCCATGTCGCCGTGTTCAGTTCAAAGCATGGGTTTGTCATGGCGAATAAGAAGCATGTGTGCCTCCTTCAACCCTTCCAGGCCCCAGGCCTCACCTCCGTACGAGCTGCTGCGCCGCCGCGAGCACCTGAACAACGCCCTGTGCCATCGCAGCTGCATGCTCGGGGGTCGCAGCGGGCAGCGGCGAGCACCCCGGAACCTGCATCCGCATGCAGCCCTGTGCCACATCCTCCTCCAGGTTGCTACCGCCGTCGCCACTCGAGGTTGACGAGGGGGAGGAGCAGGGGCTCCGCGCGGGTAGCAGCCAGCTAGGGAACCTTGAGCTGCAATCCGCAGGTGCTGCCTCATGAGCAGCAGCACTACCGCCATCATTGCTCGCCCTGCTGCCGCCGTACCGACCCGCTGGCGTGTCGTACCCGTACGGGGCGCAGACGGACGCCAGCAGCAGGATTGTCTCCACGCATGCGGCTGTGACGCTGGTTTCGGCGCTAGCTCCACCGCCTGTACAGCGGTTCGACATTGGAGAAGCCACGCCCTGGCCTCCTTCCGCGTCCATGTGCTTACGTGGACAACTGCCTGGTGAATTAGGAGACACCGTACCATGGGCGTTGCTCGCAGGTTGAGCATCCGTCGTCGCCAGGCCTGCTGCCACCGATGGCTCCGAAACCACGCCTAGGAGCTCCTCCGGCCATGCGCTGCACACTTCCCGTACCAAGGCACAGCAGGGCAGCACTAGCCCCTGCAGCTGCGTTGCAAGGCTGGTTGGGAGGACACCTCCAAGCACTGCCCACTGCAGCGGCAACAACGCATGGGCTGCTGTTGTGCTGAGGAGGCCAAGCACGTCACGCAATACGGCAGTTGGGACGAGCGGTTCAACCCCTGCGGCTGCTGCAGGACTGCCGCAGCCGTCGGCGGTGTTGCTGCTGGTGCCTCCATATGCCGGGGTGCAGGCACCGCCCACCGTTGCAGCCAGGTAGCTCGGCGCCAGTAGCCGCTGGAGGGCACGCAGCATGCCCGTCAGGCGAGTTACGGTGTCGCGAACGTGCTGCAAGCTGACAACTTCAGAGCCCGCCTTGATCGCCGATGATGCCGAGCCATGACGCTGGTAGTGGTAGGTGCTGTGACGCTGCAGAAGCGGATTCAAGTCCCCGTTCAATGCGTGGACGGAGCCGCCGGAGCTTACGAAGAAGCCGACGCCCCCCGTGACGCCCAACATTGCGTGCGCAACACGGGCTGAGGCGTCCGTGAGCAGCATGAGGCCCACCTCCAGCACTCGCCGAAACTGTGCCCGTGACGTCATATCAGCCGCAACCTGCGTTGCCGGGGGCAGGGATCCCGCAAGTGCCGCCATCGCAGCAGGACATGCCGCGGCGTAAACCGGCCGAAGCACCGCCGCAAGCGCTGGTGCCAGCCCTCCGCCGCTACCATCACTGCAGGTACTGTCCATACCCGCGGCCATATCCCCATCTCTGAGGGGCTCTGCCACTGCCGCCCCGCCATCGCTTTCAGCTCCAGCCGCTGCCGCTGCCGTCGACGCCGCCGCTGGAGGCGCTGGCGCCGACCGCAGCTCCACCTCCCCTCCCAACAACGGACTCCGGTACGCCGCTAGTACCTCTTCCGGCTGCGAACTCAGCACCGCATGGTCCTGCAGCAGCAGCGCCCACAGCGCCTGCAGCCGCGCCGCATGCGGCTCATGCGCCTTGGCTACGATGCCTGCGCACAGCGTGTCGCCTCGCGCAGCCGCTGCAGCCGCGATGGCGGCGCACTGCGCATGTGCCCTCAGCAGCTCGACTCGCGCTCGGGCGCCCACCCACTCCGCGTAGGGCTGGTAGTGCAGGGTGTCCCAGGCGGCCAGGGGCGCGGAGAGCAGGTCCATGAGGCGCCGCATGACCACGGCATCACCTGAGCGAAAGCACAGGCGGGAAGAAAGTCAGGCGGCGGAAGGTAACGGCAATACCGGTAACTAACGGTGCTGTTTGCATTGCGGGTGCGTTAGTTGCAGCCGTTGCAACCTGAATCCCGAGCATGAACCGCCGGCCTACCCGCAGCCAAGCCGCTTTCCAAGAAGCACGTGGCCAGCGCGCCGCCCGCGATCTGCAGCAGCGGGTGCTGCGCGGTGCTCTCCGACGCCGCCGGCGCCGCTGGTGGGACCGCCGCAGCAGCGCCACCGGAGGCTCCACCCGCGGGGCCCCGCAGGCCGCCCGCCGCGACCACCTGACGAGCGCCCAGCGAGCTGCGCAGCGCCGAAACCACCTGCGCCTGGTACTGCTCCATGAGCCGCGCACCTGCGTCCGGGGGAGGGTGCGACCCGAGCTCCGGGTTAGGGGTTCAGCTAGGAAAGACGGTGAGAGCCAGCCTCAAAGAAGGTAAAGGGCAAATGATTTCTCCGCTCCTCCCGACATTGCCATGGATAGGCAGCAGCAGCATCCCGTAGCCCCCGCGGCTGCCCAGCACCCAGTACCTTGCAGCAGCGGGTCGGGCACGTCTCCGAACAGCACCACCAGCATCGTCAGCAGCCGCACCCCATGCGGCCTTAGCGACTCCAAGGGGCACGTGGCGAGCTTGAAGCCCACGTCCACCAGAGCCTGCGGCAGGAAACCCCAACAACTAGGCTTTTAGTAATGGTTTATATTAGATAGACTGTGTCAGTGCTCCCATCGCGCATGTGGGGCATGTCTGATGCCAGGACGCCCAGGTGCTGCTGATACGCGTTTCCCTGGAACCTCAAACACTGGACAGACAAACGGCCAGGTTTCAATATGGCACCTGCTACCTTCCCGCCCACCTGTAACTTTGCAATCAACACGTCTCGGTGCGGCTCGGAGCCCTCCACACCCGTCAAGCGGCTGCTGTCTTTGCTGCTGCTGTCGGCTCCGAAAGCACTAGCCCACCCAGCAGCCGCGTTCCCCGCATGTGTCCCAGGCGTGGAAGAAGCCGGGTGCTCGGAGCCGCGAGCCTCCAGCGCGGCGGGGTCCCGATGTCGCTCGTCGGAAGACACACAAATGCGGACGAGGCGTAGCAAGCCGTCGGCTGCGCATTGGGAATAAAGAACTCAATAGGTATGTTGAGCACAGGTCGCATGCGTATCCGCAACATGCGCAGGATGCTGCAGGTACCGCCCACCGGGAATGCAGGAATGTGCGCATGCGCCGCACGCTCCATCCCAGAGCGGGGCCACTAACAGCACCACTAACCTGCAAAGAGCCGGGTGCGGAGGTGCGGCGCCGAAAGAAGATCTCGAACAGACCTCAACGCCTTCACCCCACCAGACCCTGCCGCCGCCTCCGCCCCTGCGCTCACGCCGGACGATGAGGCTGCTGCTGGCGCCGCCGTCGCTGCTGCTGCCGCTGCCGGTTGGCCGTACTTGTCATCGTCATCGTCATCGCCGCCGCGGGGCGCGTCGGCGTCGGCGCCGCCGGCGTCCGCCGCCGCTGCTGACGGCGGCCCAGCCGCGAAGACGACGTCGCTGAGGAGACTCAGCCAAAAAGACGGTTGCGTTGAAGCGCTGGCGGTAAGGATGGTGGTCAGCGTAGCGCGAAGCTGGCCTGCGAGTTGTGGTGGTGAGCAACAGTGACGGTGAGGTACGGTAGCTCAAGCGGCGGTGGGCGTCTCGTTGCGGAATCGTGAAGATTTCATTGCTGACAATAAACGACACAGATGACTACACCCCGACCCCGTGCCATAAGCCCTTGACAGGAGGTACCGCACTACCTACTAGTTATCTGGGTATCCGTCTCGCGGTCCAAGGCCGCAAACAGCAGCGGCGCCGCCTCCACTGGAGGTAGCGCCTCCGCGGACCGTTCCGCCAGGTGCCGCAGAGTGAGCGCTGAGGCGGCTCGGAGATCGGGCTGGTGCGACAGCAGGTGCGACTGCGGGAAGCGGATACCGGGGAGGGGATGCGTTGAAACACCACGTTAGTGGCAACATCAGGCAAGGGCAGACAGTTCTGTCATAATGCGAGCAGTAACCGGCGTATACAACGCACCAGAAATAGTGGTACGTGCTTCCGCGGCGGCACCGCATGCGGCGCGAATAGGATGATCTGCTGGACGAACAGCACCAAGCCCAGCCCGCCGTCGGCGCCATCCATTGCAGCGGCGGATTCCGACTGTACGGCGCCTTCAGCGGTGCCGCCGCCGGCGGCGGTAACGACAGCCGCCGCATCCTGTACCCCTCCGCTTGCCGCCACTAGGGACTTTGCTCGTGCGTACACCGCACTGCCCAGACTGAACTCCGGACCGAGCACAGCCACGGCTGCATTGGCCAGGCGCGCGCAGGCGGCACGCAGGGCGGGCGACTCGTAGGAGCTTACCTGCCATCGGGCATAATCGCATAAACGGCACAGAGGAAGATTACGATTAGAAAAGAGAAAAAGGATGACAAACGGCAGTTCAATGCGACATGGGGCATCACCACATCCTGCATAACACTAACATGCAACCCAAGAGCCAGCCCGGCAGCAACACGCCACCCCTGGTACTGCCCACCCTCACTGCCGACCCAGGGGTCGACGCCTCACCAGCAGCTCCTGCCCCAGCTGCAAGCTGGTCCGCACCCGCGGCACGAACGCCCCGCCACTGCTGCTCGCCACCAGCCACAACCCATGCAGCACCCACGCCGCGCCCGCCGCATTGCCGGGCCGACTGGCCGCCGCCACCAAGCCCTCCACGCTGCCCGCCACAGCCCCCTGCATGGCCAAGCCGCCGCGGGCGCGATGCGCCGCACCCAGCGCCACTGCCACTACGCCACGGCGTTCCGAATCGCGGCCTTCCGCGGCGCTGGCGGCGGCCTCCGAGGCTAAGGATCGTACGACACGCAGCGCCCAGGCGTCTGAGCCGGCGGCGGCGGAGGCGGCGAAGAGCTCGGCGGCGGCACGAGCCAGCGGTGCGGCATCGGGGGCGGCGGCGTGCTCGTCGGGCATGAGTGTCTGCGCTAGGAGCAGCAGCTTCTCGGGTACCTGCAATGAAAAAGACGAGGAGCAGGGAGGGAATGCAGCACATGTGGCTAAAGTGGTGTTCTGGATATGGAGAGCTGGTTGCCCCATCATAGCCTGACTGTAATTTATGCGGGGTTGCAGCCGTCGCACCTTATCGGATGGATCCAGCGGCGCACGGGACCTTCGTGACGCCATGGCGCCCGGGCCGTACGCTGCAAGCGTGACAACCGCCGCCGCCACGCCTAGCGGCAGGCGCTGGCAGGCGGGAGCGTCCCTGCTCTGTCGGGCCAGCGTTTTAGCAGCTTGCACCGCGCCAAGAATCACCTGTGTGGGGCCCGGACCGAAGACGCAACGCGGGTGCCAGCAGCTCAAATCCCAACGTAAGCGTCAAGGAGACGAGAAAGCGGTCCAGCACATTTGTCACCGAGAGGGTGCTAGGAACAGCACGGAAAGCAGGGAGCAGGACAGGACCACCCACGACTTGATGCCACCCACATCGACGCCTACCTCCAGTATTTGCAGCTGCTGCGGCACTGGAGCCGACCCCAGCAGCCGCCCCAGCAGCACCAGCTGCGCCGACAGCAGCGCCACCTCCAGCCCCAGCGGTTGCGGATACGTAACGTGTGCGCGTTCCGTCGCCGCCGACCCCGCCGTGCCGCTGCCGAGGCCATGGCCACCGCTTGCCGACGCTGTACCCGCCAGGGTGCCTGCCCCCGCAGCCTCCGCAATCCCATCAGCTTCGTCATGGCCGTCGGCGACGATGACGGCTCCGGCGGCGCTGTGCCCGTAGGGAGAGCCGCCGCTGGCAGCGCTAGGGCCCGACGCGACAGCAGTGCCTCCTGTTAGCATCGCAGCGTGCTCCTCTGCCGTGAGCCAGGGAGGCAGGTATGGGCCCCCGCGAGCCCCTGCGTTGCAAAAATCAAAGCTGTAGCTCAAAGGACCTACAAGGCCGGGTGCATCTTATGGACCATTGCCGCGCTCAATAATTCACAGAAGCTCCTGGTCCGAACCACCCCTGTCAGCCAGCATGAGCCCGCCAACAGGTGTTGCCGCATGTCTGAGTGTGCGGGCCGTGAGGGGCCATGGCTTACCCGTGTAGGTCCTCAACGCCTCCTCATGCGCGTCCAACCCGGCAGGCCAGGGCCCCAGAGGTGCATCGTCCGCGCTGAGAAGACCACGCAGCGCACAAAGGGTGAGCGCGTCCGCCGAAGCTGCGTAGGGGTGCACCCCGCAGAACCAATGTTCAGATGATGGTTACCATTTTGCTGCAGCGTAAAATCGCCCTCCACATCAAGTACAACCATTGACAGCTTGGGAAGTCTACCGGCTAGTTGCAATAAATACAAAAGCTGTGAACACACATTCCCTGCTACCTACTACACAAACGCGCGCACCTGGCGCCAGGCCGAGCCTGAAAGGCCGCAGACAGGTCTTAGCCAGCGCGGCCATGTGCTGCGGGGATGCCCCGATGCGGCCGGCCGGAGCACGCAGGTGCAGCTCCAGCAGGCTCAGGGCGAACATGGCGGAGGCCCCTGCGCCATGCGGCGGTCGACGAGGCGACGCAAAGTAGTGCAGCTTATATACTCGTATGCTACAAAAGTTAATTGCCGGAGCAGCGAACGAAGGCCAAAAACCGCGCAACCTGTGAACACATGCCTTCCTCCACCCCGCCACCTCTCTCCTTACCCCAGAATAACCTCCCTAGAACCCGCCCTCTTAACTAAAACACAGCCACCCTGCCATTCATCCTTTACCTGCCAGCACACCGCCCGGCCCGCCCCGGGCTCTGGCGGGGTCCTGCAGGTAGGGTTGCGTGTCCAGCAAGTCCAGCAGCGGCAGCACCAGCGGTGCCAGCTGGCCGGCAACGTCCCCATCCGCTGCGGCAACCGCTGCTGCTGCATCCGCGCCCAGCCCAGCCCCAGCGGACCCCGAAGACCTCAGCCCCGGCTGGCCGCTTGGTTCCAGCAGGGATCGCATGGAGAACGAGGCCGAGGTGGTGCTGAGGGAAGGCATGGAGGCGATGGAACGGTAGGGTGCGCCGCCGTTGCGGTTGGTGCCGTGCATGGAGCCGGCGGGCGCGGTAGCTGCTGGCGAGGCGATGTAGGCGGAGAGGGCCTGCAGGGCGATGGAGCGCCACCAGAGCTGCACCGCGAGATCCAAATCGCCTCCGGGGCGGAGGTAGCTGCGACGGGTGGTATGTAGAATGAGGGTATGCGATGAATGAGAGGCCGGCTAAAGGACAAACGGGGCTTGGAGATATGTACAACAAGGGTTGTGAGCATGCACACGCACCACTCATGGGGCGTTGGAAAACATGGTTTCGCAGCCCGCGCAATTTTACATTGTTGGTTGTCGTGATCCAGAGACAGATTATCGGCGGTTCCCCAGCCACCAGACATGCCGTACGCCGCCCGTATGCTGAACTCGCCCAGCACCATGCATCTGCCCGGGCACACCAGACGGCAGCCTCACCTGCGCTCGTCAAGCTCTTTCCGCGCCGTCTCGCCCAGGGCAGTCCGCCACAATGACGCAATCTCCTCAGACCCACGGGTCGCTTGCGGCACCCCCAGGCTGCACAGCGAGCCCAGCAGCAGGAAGCCCACCTCGCGGCATATGGCCCTGCCACATGGGAACAATCAGGTGGCGTCACGACAACGCTATGTAACCGAGCGCAACACACCCCTTCATCCGAAAGCGCGTTTGTTAGGTTAAAATCTACTTTACCCGCAGCGGATGCCGGTTCCCAATCCCACCTGCTTGCTGCCACCTGTGGCCCCGGCCCCGTCACCAGGTCCTCAGCCAGCGCTAGCGCCCGCCGCTGCAGCCGCGCCGGACACCCCAGCGGCGCGCGAGCCGCCGTCAGCAACAGCCGCGCCGCCGCCAGCGCTGCGCCATGAGCGGTATCCATGAGCGAACGCTGAGCCGGCGACAGACGCCCACTGGCGCTGCTGGGTAGTGGGATGCCGCTGCCGGAGCTGACGCTGCTGCCCGTCTGCTGCGCAGCCGCCCCGGCGACGGCAGCAGTGGTGCTGTTAGCGGCGACGGCGGATGCGGCCTCCGGGGCGCCACCGCTGCTGCTGCCGTTCCGTGGGGTAGAGGGCCGCGACAAGGACGCGGCATCCATGCTACCGGACGCCGCTGGGGACAGACTCACAGCCATCTGCGCGGCGCAGGTGGTGATGGTGTCCAGGCAGCCCGACAGCATCCTGGCGGCGGCTGCGGGGTGCGCTGCTGCCAGGGCTGCCAGCGCAACAGCGGCCTGCTGGCGGGTGGCGGAGCTGGCGGAGGCGATGTGGGGCTGCAGCGCTCGCTCCAGGGTGGCGGCGGTGTCCTCCGTCACCTCGCCCAGCGCCTCAAGCAAGGTGGCCAGGGCTGCGAGCACATACCGGTAAGCAGTGAGTGGGTGGCGGAATGGAACGGATTGGCGGCTGGATCAGTCAAGTCATGGAGCGGCAAGCCATACAGGGCGCCAACCAGCCAACCAGCCGCCCTCCACCCTCCCATCCTGCCAACCCTACCTTCTAGCAGCACCACCACAGCTGGCGTGGACAGCCGCTTGTCCAGTGTCAGCGCCAGCCGCTCTAGCAGCTTCCGCTGCGCAGCCTCCGCCAGCCCCGATATCACTCCGCGGCGCAGCACGTACAGCGCACAAGCCTGCAGCGGCGGCAGCTCGCCGCCTGCGAGGTTGACAGCAGGCGGGCGGGTGGGCGGGGTGAGGGGCAACGAAAAACAGGGAAACCTGAGGAGTGAAGCAGCGGGTATAGGCGCAGGATGTTTTGGGGGTGTTCATGAGCTAAGTGGGTCGCTTGCGTCAGCGTTCCGGCACGGCATCGAACGCGGGGGATGGATAATGCTGGATAACAGGATAAGAACTGCTGCGGGGTAAAGGAGGGCGGTTGGAACCATATCCCGCCAGCACACGCACCTGCCAGCCCGGCGCCTAGCTCGACAGGGGCGTCAGGTGGCGTCGCCGCCCGCGCCTCCGCCGCCAGCCTGCCCGCCTCGCTAACCGCATTGACGAGCTGCGGGTAAGCAGGATGCTTTAGCAAGGGTCTCTAATTACGGCTGGCTATGAAAGAAGGAAAAAAGCCGCCGAGAAAAAGTAGGTATTGAAGCCATGTTCCATGGCTGCTAGGACTGCTACACCTGCCGTACACCAAAGAAGCCTCCAAGCCTGCCCTCAGCTGCAGCACCCTCAGCCCACACCCACCATGGCAGCAACCTCCATGAGGTCGGCGGTGTGGTCATGGCCCTCCCGGTGGCGAGGCAAGGAAGAGATGTACGACAGCCACGCGCCGCCAGCCGCCAAGCAAGCCTGCATACAACAGCGCGTCAGTTCGAACGACTGTTGGAGTGATGCCAGCAGGATGCCTGTCGACTAACCACGGCGGATTGAAAAGAACCTTTTTAAACAGCTGCCTTAGGCCTTGAGCTGCTCCAGTGATAAGGTTTCATCCTGACGACCCTTCCCTCCAGATGCCTTGCTTCCCCACCTCACGCCTGTTATGCACCGCCGCGTCCACCAGCGGCGTCACCAGGCACGCGCGCACGCAGCCGCCCACCACCCGCTCCGCCGCAGCCTTCTTGGCGGGCCGCTTCTCCGCCGTCATCGCTTCCGCGGCGACCGACCCACGGGACGCAGCCGCCAGCTCGCCCAGCGCCCGCCATGCTGCCTCCCGTACAACCTGAAGGGGAGTCAAACCATTCCCGTTAGTAACGGAACCCATGCGCCCGTGCTGCCAAGTTTGGAATGCATGTGGTCGGGGCCGGGGTAGCAAGCAAGTGAGGATAGGGCTGGCCGCTTCACCCCACCACCCTTCCCGCCCAGCTGCCCGGATGCTGCCCACCTGCACCGGGTCGTCCGCCAGACCCAGACACAGCCGCAGCGCCTCCTCCGCTCCGTAGGCGCCCTCGCGCCACAGCACACCCGCCCCCGCCCCGCACAGCGCGCTCAGCAGCGCCAGGCAACCAGCGCGCACCTCCTCCGACGTCCTCTCCTGTGTAGGACCAAGGGTTTAGAGTGGCACGAGATTGACATGGAGGCTGGGCAGCATGGTGAAGTGTGGTCATGGATAGGGCACAAGGGCCCATGGGAGTTTCAACACGGAAGGAAAGCCGTATGCGGGTAATGGGTTTACGGGCTTGGTAGGACGCACGGAGCTAAGGGTCGCACAGTGTTTGCCGTGGGCAGCTGTGGCGTCCCTTTACCCGGGTCAGGGGTCGGGAAAATGGGATGTCCCGGCCCGACATCACCCCTGAACCCCATGGAACGCCGCTACCGTACCTTGCCATGCCGCTGGATGACAGCCCAGGCTTCGGCGTGCACCGCCGCAGCGGAGCGGTCCTGTGGGCTCAGCCCGCGGACCACCGCCGTGGCCAGGCGCAGTGCAGCGCAGCGTACGGCGGTTTGATTGCCGTACTTACTCACGGTACGGGAGGCAATCCCAATGGATTCTTGCGCCGAGGCGGCAAGCATCCTGAAGCAAACAAGGGACGACGATGACGTGGTGAGCAAAGGCTAGGTAAACGACAAACAAACTTGGTTACCGACGGCTTCTTGGGCTTCGCTGCCGCCCGTTGTAACATATTCAACAGGACCTCCGGCACTATTGAGGTTATACTCCTAACTGACCCGTGGTTCGCAATCGCTGCAGCCCACACGTACCTGCCGTGGAGCATAACCAGGTGCGCGAGGAAGTCCAACAGGCCCACCCGGATTGCCTGATCAGGACCGGAAAGTGAGACCCGGTGTAAAGACCTCCTTGCTCTAATCAGTACCTTACTGCAACAACGTCTGTGTAAGAGCCATAACTGGGTCGTCGCCCATAGTGAACCGGGTTTAGAGCGGGTTTGTGGGTCGGCGCGCAGGGTCAAGGAGTCATGGACACACACGTGCAACGAGCACCGGTACCCCAGCACCCCACGGCGCTTCAGAAGCCCACAACCCGCCCTGCCGTTCCATCGCCGTACGGACCTCAGCGGTTGACCTGCTCATGCCCTCTTTGCTGCTCAGGTAGGACAGGAGCGTGCCGACGCGCGTGTAGATGGAGACGGAATCGCCATGGGCATAGAGGGACGAGAAGCAGCTGTAAATAAGCCGCCGAACCTGAACAAGAAAGGACCAACGGAATGCGGTCACTGTGCAGTGTGCAAGATCGCAACCTCATGAGATGGTACAAGCTATTGCGGCAATAAGGGAAATGGCCTCAAGCCGGCGATGAGAACAATGGGTGGCTTGGGATAGGTTTCGGCGCGAGGCATGGCGGGAGGCATGCGGCGACAGCCAGGCCTTGGTGCAAAGCTGCAGGTCCCGTAGAGCGGGAAACCATGGCCTAAGGTGGAGACAGCACACAGGGATGATAGTCATTGGTACTCGCTGGGATAACGGCTGCCAAGCGGCCCCAAGCCCCCTGTCGCCCTCCCAACTGTCGGATGTGCCTTGAGCACCCTTTAAATTCCAAGCCGACCCGTCACTGACTTTACACCACGCCTACTTCGGCGAATTATATTGGGCAATCACACCAAAGAAGTACGCAAGATAGCGCGCAGCTGGAATTCAAGAAGACATGCGAGGCCACGCAGCAGCAGGGCAATTTTACAGAACGACCGTCATGTACATCGTTACATACAGGCAAGAAACTATATAGATAGTGTGCCCCGCTAGTCAACGTGGCACTGCCACACTTCTACTTACCGCAGCGCCGACTCCGTGAACCAGCACGTCGTAGAGCATCGTCTCGCACTGTCTCTGGTACTGCTTCATTACAGGTTTGTCCGTGCGGGGAATAGTTGCCACTAGCTTTTGCAACAGCTCCAGCAGCTGAACGCCATCCGGTTTGCCACGCTTGCTGTTCCCTACGAGCAGTTCTAACTCCGCAATAAAAATTGGAAAAGGTAAACATTCCTCCTCGTCCACATATGTGGCCGCATTCACCCCTGAACTAGCCTCAAGAGGCGACATTTCGTCGGGAAACGGTCGCTTAATATCTAGCGAAGCATCGTGGTGGCTCCTAGTATTGATTGGTTAAGGTTACATGGAATACTTGGTGTGCTCTGTTCTTGTATTGTTAACCGCACTTTGTCGTACATGCCCCAGTAAGTGCAACCTACATGCATGCCTCACCAAGACAACCGGAGACTGACGGAGGCGCGAGAGCGTAAGCGTTCGACACGCACCTTTCGCGGTGTGTAACTTTCTGGCTACAGCTGTGGAACTGCGTCGTCGCCTCAGGGCAGGGCTGTGCCCGTCAGGCATTTCAGGACCCGGGTCCATGGTATGTCGGGACCCAGGGATCCTCCAGCCTCTTGTGAGCATATCCTGGCCACACAAAATACAATGATCATGTTGTAAGGGGCAGCCCCAATCCTCACATGCATAATTGTTAAACTTAAGGCCCGTTAGGGATGTATATCTGGCTTGTGTGTATGGGTTTCCCCCACATTACATGGAAGGGTCCTGGTGCATGCGGCCGGAGGCCCTGGACAGTGCCGTTAGCAGCGTCATGCAGGGGCATGGCGAATCTAATAACGGCATGGCAGCAGGGTAAAGGCTTTAAACCACGCGGGACCCGGCCTCGACGGCAAAGATTAAGGAATGACCACAGCGGCCCCCATGTAACGCGCCTCCGTTTGTTGACACTCTTCAAGTTTGGTGTGCCGGAGCTCGGTGACAACCATAGAGCAACCTCAAAATTTACCATACGTGGGGATCACGTACTCTTTGCTGCGCACCTTTCACGGGGGAGTTGTGGAAGGCTCTCATGCATGGGGTGTTGGTCTGGTGCTCTGGGTGTATCCCCTAAAGCTTCCCTGACCCCGACGTCGCAGAAACGGTATGGCAACTACCTTCAACCCTGACTAGTTGCGATCCGAGGCTCCGATTGCTGCCTTTGCCCTACATGTCATCAAGCTGGGTACAACTCAACCCGCCCTCCGCCCACAGGGAACACGGCGCCTGGCAGCCTTTCCCATGCACACACTCAGTATCCAAACTTATGCGGGATACCGCACTGCCTCATCGTCTAAAGGCCACTGAGCGGCAAACGGGAAGAGCACGCTTTGGAGCGCTGCGTGCAAGCATTCTTGCGTCGATCTTGGCAGTGAGATCCCTGCACGCCACATAAATACGAAGAAAACCAGGAACTTATCATGCGCTTAAGTCACACTGTTGCAGTTCACTTTGAGATACTACACAGTGTCGCCAAGGCAAGCGTTGGACGTAGTTTTATGGACGATCTTGCATACAGGCTACGTTATTCATTCAGTTCCTTAGCGTAAGTGCCTTGGTTAATAACTTTGGGTTCTAGAGCTGTGAGTAACGTGGTGCACTACGAAAGACATGGCCTCAAGCGTTGCGCCCAAGATCTCGGGTGAAGGACATTATAATTAACCACAATTTTGTCGATCGCGGTCAAGACACATACTCTGGTTGGCTGAATTTCATGGTGTGTGGCTGATGTACGGAAAGCTCGTCCCAGCAAACTTATGGGTCTCAGCAGCCAAATGGGGTCATTTGGCTGTTACATAGCTACGAGACAGCCTGTATGTGTTTGGCCGTCTTGGACAGCTTTGGTGGCGATACTTGTCTTAACGCAATCGCTACCAGTTTATAGTCCTCGGCTTACGCCTTGTGGATCTCTCAGTTCCAATTGTACAGAGGGGTTACAAGTTAAACGGATTGGCGCTGTCCGAGTATTCGCACAGCCTTTTAAGGTCTGGGCCTTTCCGTCACCACAAAATGGTCCCTGGCAGCCAATTGCTTCGGCCATGCGCCCTTCACCGTTCAGCGGCACCCTTTCAGCGAGCATCTCACAATACCTCAGCTGTTGGGCAAGCTGGGCCAGGCCCAGGCTCGAGCTCCACTCCTTCGGTCCTGCCGTCTCCGGCACCTTGCTCAACACCAGCTACGACGTCACGCCAACACACAGCCACACTTGACCGGCGAGACATGCTGCTACTTTCTAGCTCACTCGTAGTATCTCACCTAGCACAATTGACGGGGAGCCATCCTGCACATGCTGGACAAGGAATATCGCGATACATCCGGCGCAAGACCCTTGACCCGTAAGTGCTTACCTACGTAACAACACGATCCTAACGTAATGCTTCAGCGTTAAGTGTTGCTTTAACCAACTGCACTCCCACTATTCCTACTTATTCTACCGCTTGCAGGCTCGAGACATATGTACCCCTTGTGCTGGAGGCCCGCACACTCCTCTCCAGGGCCAAGGCGCTTGCTGCTAGGGACGTTGGCGCGGCACGGGAGCTGCTCCGCCAAGGGCCCTACAAGTAAGGGTGCGAGAGCAGTTGGACACTTAGCCGTCCTGAGCGGTGCTGCAGCGTACACCAGGAGTGCTACGCGATGTGCTAGGGTTGCTCCCGTTTCATGTTTCTTCCCATCGAATAATCTAGAAGCTTACTTGGCTGCGTGCTGCAACTGACGCCCCCTTGCCTCCCTTCCTGCCCTGCTCAGTGGTCTTCGGGACAACATCCGCGCAATCGGTGAGTACGCAGCTCGAGACGGGCGCTCCAACGACGTAGGGCCCATCGTGACGGGGTTCTTCAAGGCCTTGGAGGCGTACGACCAGCTCTTGTACGGCGCCCTGAGGGAAGGCACATCCGTACAAGCTGAGGATCTGGACGCCAGGATCCAGGATCTGTACGACGCATTTGACCGGTTGCTAGCGACGGTGCCGCCAGAAATTCTGCAGCGCGCAAACACAGTGCTTGAGATAGCAGCGGCCAAGGCTAGCAGTGGCAGGTCTCCGTCGGTAGCTGTGGATGCTGGAACAGCATCGGATGCTGGTGCTGCTGCGTCCTCGGCTGCTATGGATGCAGAGGCGGCTGACCTCGTTAAGCTGTTGAGATGAGGTTGGTACGACAATAATAGATCTTCAAGACGCTGAGATCTCCAGAGAAGATAATAACCTAGTGAGCGGATGAGAGTTATGGGTGTTATATGACCTTGTTAGTTGTTAGTTGCAGGCATGCATTCGTCGATGGCTCGGTTAGGGTCTCGTTTCTGTTGACAGTTGAGGGTTTCGCAGTCGTTGCGAAGTCGCAGCAAATACGGCAGTCCTGGAGTGCCCGATGACATTAAGCGCGTGGGTATCTATTAGACCAGAGGCGCAAGGAAGGCTGCCATAACTGGCGATGAGAGGTCGTGTTACGGGTCTGAGAGCTGTAGGAGTGGAAAGAGGAGTTGAGGTGAGTCCTGTCGGAGATGTGTGCGGCACATATGCACTCCTAGGCGCAGCTATGCTAACCGCGGTGGCCGGTCAACGGTAGGGCGAGTATTGGTGCCACCGGCAGTTGGATGCAGGCACATGAGCCGTAACTTAAGAGTGTATCTATGTTTATGTATGATGATGAAATACTAGCAGGGGCGCATGTGCGGGGAATGGCCGTGTGGGTTCTGCCCAGGGCACCGCCCCTGCAGGGTAAACCCCCTTCTGCCGAATTGCGGTAGGGCCCAGGTCCGTAGTGCGAGGTTTAGCGTATTGGCGCCGAGCATTTCGGTGAATACCGGATAAGAGCAAAGCATTCGGGTTCGATTCGGATGTGAGGGATGGTGAGGGTCGCAGGGATATATCCCGCTTTGTGTGCTTACGAAGCACGTACGAATGGTTAAGCTACGCAAAAAGGCCCTTGTGAGGGAGCATCGAGTGTTTATGGTAGTAGGAGGGCAAGGAACGAAGCAGGCGCGGTGGAGTATGTATGCGTTGCGGCTTGCTCGGATGCGATCTAGGTTAAGGTATACGATTGTGGGCTAGTTAAGTGAGCACTGTGCTGTTGGAGTGAGCGCGAGTTCTGACTTCTAGTAGATTGCCAGATTTCAGCTAGCTACCAGACGGACACCATCGGGAAACCTTTGAATAGACTTCGTAGTTCGGACGTTGTTGTCAGCAACACCTTCGTACGCCCTTCGCACAGCGTTACTGACTGGTCGCCAAGTGATGTTGCAAGACCCATCTAGTCTCATGTAAAGCAATGTGACCGAATGCCTCTTCGCTTCCTCGGCGCTTCAAGTGTACCGCATGTGTTGGGGGACGTGGCAACTGGGGTGTTGTGGCACAAGGCTGGCCATGGGGGGTGTACGATAGTGCCACCCAGTGCGCTCATGCACATAAAGAGGGCAGAGAATGTTTCAGTATTGCACCGGGTAAAGCATCTGTGACACCGCTCCGAAGTTAGTAGTTTTCTCGGGGACTCACCATCCTCTAATCCTAACCCGTAACAGACTTTGCTGACCCAACCCTAGCGCTCTAACACTGAGATATCGGCAGCGTACCAAACCCATAAAGGACCCGACAACATACATGCTGACATGGAAAACCCAACCACCAACCGCACGTCCTGCGCATCATATGCAACCACGCCACCGCCGTTAGCTCGCAGCTGCTGTGAATATGGAGGCTGATCCTTGATACAAATATAAGACATGCCTTTTGTGCCCTACATAACCGCCTTGGAGACCTAGCTCCTTCACCGCCGAGACTATTGTTAACTAACGCCCAAGATGGCCCAAGCCACGTAGCGCAGAGGCCTTCGTCTTCCGCTGCGTGTGCTAAGAGGCCGGTCCCGCTGCTACCCGCGTCCCTCTCGTTTGCCCTTCAAGCTGTGGTGTCTGCTGCTTCGCCCGCTGCTGCTGTTGCTGCGGTTGTTGCTGCCGCTGGTGCTGCTTGGGATAGGACGTCCCTGAGCCCCATGCGCTGCTCCAGCCGCCTAGCAGGCTGGCCTGGATGGAAGACAGCAGCGTGGGCCGGGCAGCCTGCGGAACCAGGGCGACACATGACATGCGCACGAAGGATGCTCTTAGCCGGGTGCTACTCGCAGCGCAGGGAGGAGCGAACAAGCACAATGCCAGCATGCACTCATACCCAACGCTGCGGGAGCAGTGCTGCCCCTCACTTGATTCCTTCTCTCAAAACCCACTCAACAAGCCACCCCCAAGTGGCTTTATTAGGCAAAACCCTTCAGCGCAGGCCCCATGCCCATCACCCCTTCACCCGGCATAATCCCCCACATGCGCTCACCTGCTGCACCTCCATGCGTTTGATAGCCGCTCCCAGCATGTCCGCTAGGCTGGCGAAGTCGGGACGCATCTCCGGATCGAACTGGCAGGACAGCCGCAGGACCAACTGGGGCGGTGGGAAGGATTGGTGGTGGGGGAAAGGTGGCAGGGAGAGGTTAGGATATGCAGGGCCAGGGGTACGGCAAGCTGGAGGGGAATTCCAAATGTCCAGGGCATGGCAGGGCGCGCAAAGGTGAAGCAGTCGTGGAAGCGATAGCGTTACAAACGAGGAAGGGGAGGAGCGGACGGGGTGCTCGCTTTTCCACTCCTTTTCAACTCCTCACCCACCTCACCGGCCCACTTGCCACCTGCGACCTAACGAGGGTGCCCCGAAACCAACGAGCTGTGTCAGTACCCCACCTGAACCTCCTCATGCACATTGCTCGGCACCGATGGCGCCAGGTGCTCCTCCGAAACCGCCATGGCTACCTGTACGGGAGTCATGTACATGTGGCTGTACGGCATGGCGCACGTGATACACTCCGACAGCAGTACGCCCCAGCTCCACACGTCAGCCTTGCTGTCGTACACCTCGTGCCTGGAAGGAAGAGCGGGAGCAGCCGTAAAGCAGCGTGGTAGAGAGACAGCAGCAGCGCAAACACACGCCAGTATGCCAAGTCACACAAATGCCGGTAGCAGCTCGTACCCAGGACACAGGTTGGATTGACGCGTTGCCCACGCCTCACAGGTCACAGCTCTCCACTCCACTCCACCCACCGATTCCCAAGCTCAACCTACGCCTTCCCTTCCTTTCACCACCAACGACCCAACCCCACCCAACCCAACCCAGCTCCCCATACCCACCTGATCACCTCCGGAGCCATGTACAAATACGTCCCCGTCTCCCCCGTCAGCGACGCCCGCCCCTCCGCCAGCAGCCTCCTGCTCAGCCCAAAGTCCCCCAGTCGCGCCGCGCCGCCCCCATCCAGGTACACATTGGAGGGCTTCAGATCCCGGTGAAGTACGGCGGGCCGGCAGCCCTCCAGCGCACACATGCCCAGGGCCACCTGGTGAGCCATGCGGAGGCGCTCCAGGAGGGGCGGGGTGGGCCGGAGCAGCCCGCCGCTGGAGCTGCCGGGACCGGGCAGGCCACCGGGGTGCAGCCAGTCGGACAGGGTTCCGTTCTGTGGGAGGGTGGGGATTGGGAGTTAGGAATGGAGGATGGGAGAGGCGTGAGAAGGTGTGGTGTGAGGGAGGGAGAGAAGAAGGGCGGTTTGGGAAAGAGCCATGCCATATGGGGCCTCCCATGTGGGGTGAAACCCTCTCAGTCCCTCCTCGCCTCCTCACCGGCATGTACTCGGACACCAGCGATAGCCGGTCCGGGGCCGACAGACACGCCCCCAGGAAGGGAACAACGTGCGGGTGACGGATGTACGACATGCTCTCAACCTGTGGAGGACGTGGGTTACGTGCCAGGTAAGGAAAACGGGTGTGGATGGGAAGGAACTAGAACTTCCTCTCAGACAGCACCTTCAACCCGTGAACCGATATTCCCTTAATTGCCGCCTTCTCTACCCTGTCGTGCTCGTCCCTTCCCTGCCGTGTCCTCAGATTGTCCAAGTCAGCGTCTGGGCACGAAATCCCTCGTTCTCCTCCCCGACCCACCTCCCGCAGGAATGACGTCAGCTCCGCCGCATGTCTGAGTCGCACCACCTTCACCGCCACCGCCGCGTGCCGCCAGGAGCCCAGGTACGTCACCCCGAACTCGCCCTCGCCTAGGACCGACCCAAGGGTCACCTGCGGATGATGAGCGCAGGAATGGGTCTTAGCAGCCTCCTGTGAACATGCAATGCGGGGCGAGAAAAGCGCATCTACGTGCCCAATATTGCTCAAAGCTGTGGTATCCTTGGGAACTTGCATGCCAACTTAACCCCTCGGCACGCTATTCGACATCAGGCCCATTGCAACATGACCCTTCATGCCCGCCTTCCGGGCTTGCCTAGGCCCATGTACAACCCAGGTCTCATCACTTTTATAAGCACCTATCAATAAAACAGTACCTAGCCCCGACTTCCGAGCCCCTCCCCATCCCACTACTGCTCTAAATACCCGGGTACTGTAAAGCCCTTTTTTGCACAACCTTGACATAAAGCGGGAGGGCCACGTACCTCGCTCTGCTGTATGAGCCATCCCATGGCCTGGCCCCGCCGTACCAGCCCCTCAAGCACCCGTTGCTGATTGGGCGTCGGGTTTATGGAAATGTACGACGTTGTTGCTGCTGACCCTGCATCGGCTCCCGCTCCGGAACCTGCTTCTGCAGCAGACGCAGGGGATGCCGCAGCTTGTGCTGCTTTCACCTCTGCCGTTGCGGAGAGCTGGGAGGCAGGATAGAGGACTGCAGCCGTGGACCGCTGCTGCTGCAGGGTTTGCGAGGGAGCAACTGCCGTGCTTGACCCAGCCGACCCGGGCCCGGGACCAGCTCCAAGATCGGATTCAAGTCCCGGTGCTGCTGAGGTCTGGAGCTGCAGAAGCTCGGCCAGCTGTCGGGCGTCCTCATCTGCATTGTCGCTGGTGATGTCCATCAACGATGATGGCTGTTGCCCTGTGGCAGCTGTGTACGCGCGCTCCAGGCTGGCGATGTGCTTTCGCAACTGGACTACTTTCTGTGCCAAGTCCTTTGCGTGTGCTGCCCAGGCGTCACGTTCCTGTTCCGCTCGGTCGAGTGCGGAGACATGGCGCTCCACATCAGAGTAAAGCAACGCGTTTAGCTGCGCAGCTGCTTCTATCCGCTCCTGTATTGCCTGATCCCTGAAGGTCAAAACCCAAACGCATTTTGTTCCCAAGCAATCCCCGAATTGCACATTGGCGTGTAGACCGGTTTGTTGTTTGGGCCATTGCAGCCACCGACGCATGCATCAGTACCTGCTTACGCCATCTGCTCCTCGGTTAGTTACAGCTGCAGGTCCGGCAGCGGCCATCTCTACCTGACCCCTAGCCTGCTTATCGCGCCAACGCTAGGCTCAAGTGCGTTAACCAAGAACATCCAATGTTATCTTGTAGAATGGCCATACGTTAATGTATCCATAAACCTGGGCTATGAGAAAGCTACAGCAGGTAAAAAGTAAGCTGCTGCCTATGTCAGCACTGTCCCAAGGCCGTAGAAAGTAGGGGCGTGACTGTCAAAAGCGGATGCAGCGTTTGTTGTGCTGTAAGTGCTGTATGGTTCAGAGCCATAGCAATAGTACGGCAGGCACGTGGGTGGGGCTGATGAGCGGGATTCGAAGCTAGGGAGCCCGACGGACTTCTTAAGTAGTTGAGATTGGGCGCAAAAGCGACCGTAACGAGACTTACCAACAGGGCATGCATTCCGCCCGTTGAACCTGGCATCTCCCGTGGTCTTTCCACAGCAACGGTCGAATCTGCCTAAGTATTCCGTCTCTTGCGGCGACACAACACATGTCATGCCCGCTGCTTCAGCTGATCTCCTTTTCCGCACTTGCACAGCCCGCAGCAACGGCGTACACGGTGAATCCGGCAGCATAACGTACGACTCCCTCAACGAAGTTTGCCCCCATGTGCGGTTCGGCCTAATACTGAGCAACGCCGTTGCTCAAGTTCAGACGCGCCGTCCGAAAAATGCATCCTCTCAAGGCCCTCTCATTCACCAAACCGCCAATGTGTCTGGCAAGAGTCATAGCCAAAAAAGAAGCACAAGAAGTGGGGTCCCATCCCTGGCCACATCCGTTTCATTCCTTCGTACCCAACCATCGCTGCACAAGAGATAGTCAAAAAGACGCATACAACATTTGGGTCCGATCCAGTTCTATACTTGAAGTACTATATGTGAAAAAGAAGGCGAATCCCAGGCAGCATGGCTCGCGCATGCAGATGTGCACGATAGCAGCCTTCCGACGTGCGTGTATCTTGCAAGGAGCAAAGCAAGTCAAGGAATGTCTCCATGGGGCAACATGGGTGTCCAGCCCCCCGTCCCTTATTTTATCTCGAAAACGTCCCGCCCCCCCCCACAACGGCGCTCCAAACTCGCCTCCCCATATGAATCTGCATTACGAAGATGTAGGACAACAGTTCCGGACAACCCCCTCAGAACCCGAGTGTCCCAATAAGTCCGCCAGAAACCTCTGCTACCGTACCCCTCCTCAGCAACTTGCTATCCCACTCGCGCCGTACAGGTACATGTAACGGCGCTACAACTGCTTGTTCTTCTTGGGTTTGAGGAACAGCGAGAGCGTCCAGTAGTAGTTGAGGCCGGTGAGGACGAGCTGGAAGATGGGGGTGATGAGGATGGGGTTCCAGGGGGTGCCGCTGACGCGAGTCTGCACCTGCCACTCGCGGTAGAAGACCCAGATGAGGTACCTGCAGGGAAGGGGGGAGAGAGTTGGGGGCAGGAAGGGAAGGGTACACGCACGGCACACTAGGAGGGAGGTGTTTGAGGTGCGCTGTGTGTCAGGGTGGGCACTGGGCAGGGCCTTATGCGCCAGGTGAGACGGCAAGGCCCAGGCAAGACGGAGCAATGCAGCGGGGCGAGGGGAGAGAGAGCGCGGGTTGACAAGGCATGCCAAGGGACCAGAATGCCTCCGCCGAAAGGGGAGCGCCACTGCCTGTTCCCCAAGGAAGTACCTTTTAGGAATTCCTTCACCGAAAGGGGATTGCCTCTGCTGCACTGCACGCCAGTAACAAGTCTTCATCTTCATGGGGTCACTTACGGGTAGTATATGTTGCGCAGCAGGACCCAGGTGACGTAGAACAGCACCTCCAGTACGGCAACCCGTACAGTGCGTTTGGCTATGAGCAGCCATGTGTTCACCTGGGGTGCGACAATGGCCCGGGCGGGGCGTGGGCGGGAGAGGGATGGTTGATAGTTGCTCTATCAATACTGCCCCTCTTTCCCACGCCTCTTACCCAGATCCCGCATGTGACGTCCAGCCAGCCCAGACGGGCATGTCACATGTGATCACGCCAACCCTGCAACAGCCCGACTTCTTCCACCGGGCGCCCCTATCCCGCTTCCCCCATGAAACCCCATGCAACCCCCCCCCCCCGCCTCTTAAACACCTTGGGATTCTTCTTTTCCCCCGCCTCTTACCTCCACCAGCATGCAGTACGACATACACCACTCGTACTGCGGGTAGTGGTACGGGATGAGGATGTACATCGCCGTGATGACGTGGTGCGCCAGGATGACCAGCGGGGACTTGACGGAGCGGGGAACCACCCCCACGTAGATCTGGGGGGAGGGGGCGCGTGAGGGATGGGAGGAGGGAGATGGCCCATAGATGTCAAGGGGGGTTGCCCTAGGATGTGGATAGAGAGTTGAGTAGGTTTTAAGTTTCTTTACGGTATCCTTAACCCCCATCTCCCCCCTCTCGCACCAGGTCTGCCACGAAGTACAGCATGGTGCTGATGTAGAAGAGCTGGAAGCCCGCCCCGGTGGCCAGGTAGTAGAAGTTGGTGGCGTTGAGCCAGGCGATGCACACCAGGTTGAAGATGTCCTGTTGGGCGCGCGGGAGAAGGGCGAGGAGAGGAGAGAAGGGTGGGGTTGCAGAGGAGTTTTGCATGCTATGGGTGGGAGGTGGGGTCGAAACCGCTTGAAAGGCAACGGCAAGGGTTAGAAGAGGAGCTGGAGGGGAGGTGACGAGGTTTGATGGAAGTCAGGGTATGTTCGGTGTTAGGGAGTCTGGAGGAAAGCAGCACTGGTAGTAATTGCAGACCGCTGGCCGAAGGGTAAGAGAGGTGTTTTGGGTTGGGCCGAATAGGGTAGCAGCATTGCGACATAGGGGGGGGGGGCGCTCGCATGCAGGTCGCGTCGGCGGAAGGAACAGCGACAGGCTTACGTGATATACGACAACGGGAGGCAGCTTCCCGTCAACGGTCTTGTTGGAGGTGGCCCCATCTCCCATAGCTGCTGCTGTTCCGTCCGCGTGCATCGCGACGCTTTGGGCGGCGCTACCTGCGCGTGACAAGGGTGCAGCGCTACCTGTTCATGGCAGAGAAGCCATTGAACAATCGTTAAGCGACTGGGAGCTCTATCGCAAACGCAGGCAGGCGCATAGTAAGCTGCTAAAATATTATATTGTTTCAGTACACCTTGTAACATTCACCCGGGCAGGCTTGTCCTCCGTTGTCCGAGATGCTGACCTCAACGGTTTTCCACAAGCTGTAAGCCTATGTACCAAGGTTTCACTCAAGTACACCTGCTCAGATAAACACGTCTAGTGGTAAACGTTGCTCCGCTTACAACCGTAACTCGTTATGCGTGATTCACAAAAGCAAGCAGTGACAACCCATGTAGGAAAGCTAAGGCCACTGTCGACGCATATAGTGATAGTGGGTCCGGACAAGAATATGCGAATGCCGTGCGCCTCACTGATTAAGGCACATGACAAATAGATCTTACGCAAAAATTCCTGGCATGCTCACTACGTAATCGAAATTGCGACCACTTTAACTGTGCATAGGAACATCAACTGCATATTGCAGCACCCCTTCAGGTGCGCCGAGAACCTACGGCGGCCCTTAATCCCCGCGCCGGCAGCACGTATCAACCACCTCACGAGATAACCCTAGTGTCGATAAGGGCAACTATGTCGCAACAGAAGGGTGGTACGCGTTAGCTTGCTCGAGAAACAGGCGCGTCGCAAGTCTGCTGATGCGCTTGTAAGGACGTACCACACGTCCAAGAATCGAACGGCCCCCATATGCAACGCTAGCTAACCGGCGCGGCAACAGAAGTGGCAGGTTGATTGCACGCACGCATAACCTGGATTACCACTGCCCTACGCTCATTACACTACGTGGCCGGTGTGTCAACAAGAGGACACTGCCACTGCCACAGGCAACGCACCGCTCTCCTACTCTCTGGTCCAACTACTACACCATGTACTTTCTAGCTTCGCGTACTTAACTAAGGCACACCGGTGCCCAGGCCCCCAGTTAGCATTTATCCCGCCATGCAGCCCTCCCAATGCGCATTACAATCCAAACCCTTCTCTCCCTAGCATGTCATCCTTCCCGGTTCCCGAATACCCACTCCCCGCACTTGATGGCTCCCCGCCTCACCAACACCTTCGCACGCAAGCATATAGCCTTATATCCCCGACCCACATCGCAGGGAACTAACCCAGAGGTCCCTGCTCTCTGCTTTGGCAAATTATTTACAGCACCACACCCAAGCCCCCAGGCTCGCGGCCTTCTACTTGGCCTTCTTCCCTTCACAGCAGGGCTTCTTGGCACCCGGTGCACCCACAGCAGCGGGGGCGACGGCAGCAGCAGCAGCCGGTGCGGGCGCCGGCATGTTGCTAGTGTACGAGAGGTACGCGGTCCACAGCACGCCGCATGCGGACATGTACAGCACCTGGTACTGCAGCGGTACGCAGTAGAAGTTGATGCTGGCGGCGGGAATCCAGAACTTCCATCCTGCGAGGGGCGACGTGAGGAGTGGACACGTCAGTAGGTTACCAGTAATTCTGTGGCATGCAGACATGCTAACCCTTCACTGCACGCCACCAGAGGGACTTTGTTACTTCTCTACGGTTGCCTGCAAGCCGTTGCTGTTGTCCTACACGGCACACCCACCGTTAACCATAGTCGGCCAAAGGTCGTTGCGCAGCTTGCCGGGGATGGCGGCCCCGTTGCCTGTTAGCAGCAGGTTGTAGCAGAACACGGTGCTCAGCGTGGTGGGCGCCAGCACCAGCTGGTTGGCTGTGACCTGCAGGGGAGAAGCAGGAGGGAGAGGAAGGAGAGGAGCGAACGGGAAGGATGGATGTGGATGTGGATGACGTGTGGACGCTTCGGCAGACATGGAGCCAAATGTACGGGAAGCAGTGGCTGACATGTGGAAGACGGCAACAATTTTAGGCTAGCTGTCGGGCTGAGGTACTGCACCTCCGAGAGTTTAGTGCTGGGATGGCGGCGGTAAGAGCAGCGGAGCACGGCGGCTGATGTGGCTGATGCATGCCCGCACCTTGGTGAGGAAATTGGCGGTGTTCTTGATGGGAAGCATATACTCCAGCAGGTTGTACCAGTAGAACTGGCAGGGCCCATACCACAAGAAACCGTATCCCAGCATACGGAGGGTTCGCATAGGGTCATATGCAGGTTTCGGGGCCCCCTCGCGGGCAGCTGTCTGACTGATTAGGGCTTGGGCTAGCAGGTCGCCGACCGCAGAAAGCGCGCCCGATGTCAGAGCGGCTTTAAGAGGGCCATTTAACCCCTGATACAGGCAGCGTGTTGAAGAAAAGGTCAGCAATGGCTACAAGCATAATCGGCCGCCGTGACTCGGTCATGCCGACATACCGCGACTTTATCGAAGTACGTTCCACGCCCGCTAGGACCAGCGCCAGATGCCGATGAGTTCGTTGAGCGACGAACGTCACGACGGGCTTGTTGCGGCCGACGGAAGTCTGGGCGTCCGCCCCAGCCACCCGAGCCACCCGAAATGAGCGAAAAGCTACGCATCTTTTTGTATTAGGAAACAGCAAATGTGTTCTGATTAGGAAAGCTCTCACTGTGCAGGGGTTTCCAGGTTACTGAGCGTACGGCAAGTAGTCAAATTGTTTTAGCGCTTCAGAAGATGCGTGGGCTGTTGCTCCAATGATTCAGTCCTGCCATTGCTAGCTGTGAACGTTTAAGTTAACATGGAACCGGTAACAGCTGTCGGTTGCTGTTGTCAAATCTAGCCCTGCTTGCACGTCCCAAGCTTGTCATTTGGCAAGGATGAGTGATGAAGACAGCGACCGGTCTTCAATTTTGTTTAGCTCCAAGCTGTGTGTAGCCCTCCGTGGGAAAACGAGAGAAGGGCAACATCAATGCCCTACGAACGATGTGGGAGCGCCCAGCCTAAAATGTCAGATTAGCGATGAAGTAGTCCAGAGACTGCGTCATGAGAATCATCGCTTGGAAGTCCAGGACATAATCAAGCAGGTGGACGTGCAGCCCAAGGTTCCCCAGGATGTTGCGCTCGAATACTACATTAGCCGGACGCACAACTCCCTGCGGAGCCGAGAGATGCTGCAGAAACAGGCGAAGGAAGAGGCACAACTTCGGCGTGAACCCTTTGGGCAAACACTTGCCAAAGACATCAGTCGCAGACATTTCCGCACGGCACCTCGCTACGATACGGGCAGCAAGTACCCAGGAGATGCCCCAAACATCCACGCACCAGAAGCGCAAGCGCCTTGGATCGTGTTGCTCCAGTCACGCAGGTTACGCGCCGTGGCGGAAGCAATGCTCGCCCATCCAGGCTCACTGCGTGTAGGGCCGCAGCCAGTGCACAGCGAAGCACCAGATCCTGCCCAGGCTGACGAGACTAAAGGCGTAGACGTTCCGGCGCTGGACGCGACCCTCTACGCGCTTTCCCTTTTCAGCCCTGCCCGCCGGCTTCACGCACCGGAGTGCAACAGCAGCCCGCCAGCGGCCACCGCGCAGCCTCAAGGGGTGGTCAGCCCTCACATCTTCCACGAGTGTGGCAGCAGTAGCGTAACTGGCAGCCGCAACACCGTCCTAGAAAGCCGCCAAGGTCATCCTGATTCCCACACCGCCCTAAGCGGCGATAACGACAGTAACTCCGCCAACGACCGGGCCCCACGAGAGACAGACGACAGCCGGGCCTGCCGCCACCACCCGCCGGTACGCTCTGATCCCTGTACGGCAGCTACAGCCTCCGATCTGGTTCCGGATCCAAAGGAGGTCCTCACCGAGGAGGCTCGCCTGGCCGGGAAGGCCATGTCAGGGCTGCCGGTGGGGGTGCAGCAACGATTGCTGGGGGACCGGCTGCGGGAGCTGATGGCGAGCTCTCGGCGGCTGTGTGAGAGGGCGGACAGCGTGCTTGGTGCTGGTGCTGGTGCGGACGAGGGGGCTGAAGCTTGGGTGCATGGGAATGAAGGAGGGGATCCTGCCGAGGTCGAAGGGGCCAGCCCTGGTGAGGCTGAGGGCGCCTTGTAGGCTGGGGAGGTGGGATAGGACGGAGTGAACGGTGGTTTGGATTCCTAAAAAGCAGGCAGGAAGGGGTACGGGAGGCCAGTGCGGACAGTGCGGATGATGTGGGTCAGTCGGTCAGGCCGATGGAACACAAATGGGGCAGGCGCAGGAAGCCCTGAGACGGGCGGCCGTAAATTATGCAGTGAAGTGATCTGGAGGTATGTACGAGTATGGTTATACAGAGCGCAAGGGTGAGAGACTGAGAGCACTGGTAGGTCATGCACAGGACAGCTGCGTGGCTGTGAAGGTGATGTGCTGATGCACACGGTGGCTTGGGCCCATTCGAACACCGACTCCTGTGGGTCGGGTATGGCCTGTATGGGAGCTTAGAAGGCAAGACCGAAGAAGGCAGACCAATTGCTTTCCGGGCGGGGGTGCGCAACAGGTTTTGCTCACTGTCATGCGGGCCTGCGATGGGCTTCTTGTTGTGACCGGTGTGCGCTGATGTCGCCGCGTGCCTGCGGGAGTTACCATGCTGTACGCCCCAAGCCGCTGTGAGCTTGCCAGGCTGCTGTGGACGCCAATGCTTCCACAGGTCGTTCGTGCTAGGCATCCTTGCTTCCTTGGTTTGCAGTTTAGGATACCGGTAGCTGCTGTGGCCTGGGTGCATGAACGTTTGCACTGCACAATAGATACGCTGCTTTGCAAACACGTTCTCAAGGTTTGCAGAGCGGGCATGCATGAGCAGCATGGCCAGGCTGGCCTCCATCACCACTGTCGGGTGCATCACCAGCGCAGCAACAGTCAACACCACCAACAGCGGGCAACATACGAATACATCAACAACCTCAGCATGACAACGGGTCTATGCTCTGCCGGATGCATTATGACGAGCAGCATGTCCTGCGCCGCAAGAAGCCTTTGCCAACCTAGCGTCCCGATACGCTTTGTTACCCAAGGTTGTCACCTCCCGGGTCAAGGGTACTCCTGGGTACTACCTGGTCCTAGCTACCGGTAAGTAGACAAAGCCGGCGCCGGTGCTGGGAGCACCTTGGCAAAGCACGCTGCACCTCTTGGGGGCCTCCTTCAGGCCCATCTTCCTCGCTCAAAACAGTACGGACGGTCTACGCGACCCTTACTGCGCACCCGCGTCAACTCCATGCATGCAACCGCCCAGATCCAAGTTTTCCTCATATCCCGCAGCTCAGCCTGAAACGGCTTCAACCCTGCTTCGGCGCACCGCAACGTTTTATTACTGGAACGCCTCAACTCCCTTGCCAGTGCCCTGCATACACACCAAAGTGGAGAGTACGTTCCTACTCGCGGCCAGTTTTCTTAACACACCAAAGTGGCCAGTGCGCCAGTCACCTCTCGCACCCATGCACAACACAGCCCTCAGCCAGAGCCGCGATGACGCCTCTCACCTCCCTCATCCCCATTCAATCATACGCCCCATGCAATCAATTCCGGTGCAGCTTTGCAACTGCGCGCCGCGCTAGCCCTTCCTTTCCCCCTCCTCCGCTGCCAACCTGACCCGCAGCCGGCTCCTGCCCAGGCAGCCCTGCGCAGCCCCTGCTGCTTAACAGACAGCCCCGCGCTGCATGCATGGCACGCACGCAGCCCCCTACCTCCTCACCCCCGCTTCCTCCGCCAGCCTGCTCAGTAGCCCCTGCGCCAGGCAGTTCCCAGGGCCCAGCAGGTGATCGCTGCCGCCCACATTGGCGCCGCATTCGGGGCAGCGGGCGCTTTGGGCGGGGTTGCCGCAGCCGCCGATCACATAGAGGTGGTTGTTGGGGCAGCTGCGGGCGGACGGGCGGGGCGGGGCAGGTGTTTTAGGACGTGGGTGGGGATGATTGGGACGGTACGCGGAAGAAGCGCAGTCAATGTCAAGTATGTGCATGTTCGTGTAGAAAGGCTAGAAGCGTGCCGAGCCGGACAGCAAAAGCACTCACGTGAACACATGGCTGCTGAGCCAGGCCTGCTGGTCCCGCCCGTAGCTGCATTCAGCCGCCGCCACCGCCATCAGCACATCCCACTTCTCCCGAGCTGTCACCTGATGGTATGCGGCAGGGAGCATGGAGAAGAAGCAGGAACAACAAATGCGGCACAGGAAGGCGTGCTACTGGGAGGAGAAGGAAGGACAGGATTGTGGGCTTGCAACTTGCGGCGGAATTTTGGGATGTTGTTGGAGTTGCGCGCTTTAGTGGACTTTAAGAACGGAACAATTAAAGCGCTCTCAAGCGGCCGCAACACAGAAATAGCCATGCATTCCGGGCATTTGGCTCTCCGACGTCTCGTTTTGCCTACATACGTACATAGGCTACATCTAGCTGCGCATAGCTTGGTCAAGCCAGACCGGTACCGGTACCGGTAGATGCCGTTTAATAAGTGTATACCGTGTGGAAGATAGCCCCTTTTCACCAGAAAAGGAAAGCACCTAAACCGAACCTGTTGGCGATGCGTCGCGGCTTGGCTGGACCCATGGGTCCGTTGCCAGCTCGCACTCGCGCTAACGGTGCCGCTAGCCGTCGCGTACAACATCCTGGCAGGAGGTTCGACTCAGCAGTGCGATTCCTGACGGGTCTTATGCAGTCAAACAGTCTCTCTGTGTGTGCCCAGGTTGCGTCGCGCAAATTTACTGAGGATTACCCAGGTCAGGGTTTGAGGCCGGCTACGGGGAAAATGTTGGCAACTATAAAAGTATATTCTCTTCCTGGGTTTCCCTGACGCAGCTGGCAATCGAAACAGTTTGTAGCCGAGTACGTGGGCGCATATTACAACGGGCATGCGCAGTTGTAATCCTCTCAAGGGCTTGTGCTTTGGACGCCCAAGGACTGCCCTTGTATGTACCACAGAAGTAACCTCAAAAGGCCAGACGTCACCGTATCTTCCTCAATCTTGTAAAACTCATCTTGAGGGCTCCAGCCGTCCTACACACAACACAACAACATGCCGAACAACCACAATTTCAAGGTATGCCCCTAATTGCGCGAGTGTGGAACAGGTAACACAACCAAAGCGCATGCAAGCGCCCTTCCGGAACACGATAAACACAAACCCTTGCAAGTTTGCATGCATGCATGGAGTCTTCTGCCGCCATGTTGCCAGTCCAAGACGCAGCAAGCGCAGTGCATACGCCAGGTAGTCCGTAAACCCATTGCGACGGTCTCCTCTTCCTTATCGTACAATAGCGCAGGTAGGGGTATGGACAAGCCAGGTAAGTATATGTACATAATCACGTTGTCCTCGAAAGTAAGACTGGACAGCCGCAACGGCAACCATCTCAATCCTTATCCATGTCGGCAGCTCCTCCCTCCCCGCCTCCTCCTCCTCCTCCAACACCAACACCACCACTACCGTCCTCATCACCATCGCCTCCGCGCCGCGCCCGGAAATGCCGCTGACCGCCTCCTCTCCTCGCCCCTTTCTCTCCATCGCCACTCGCCCCGACCCGTGCCCCCTGTTGGGCCCCTGCTTTACCTCCTCCTCCTGACCCTCCTCCTCCGCCGCCGCCGCCTGACCCTCCGACCACCACCATGCCATCACCCGTGCCCCTGCTGCCATCCGCTGCCTCCTCGTCCTCTTCTCCGGCAAAGCTCATGCCCCTGTGCAACCCCGCCCCTCCTCCTCGCGAAACCCTTGCCTCTCCTCCCGCACGCTTGTTCCCCTCCTCCTCTTCCTGCTGCTGCTGCCGGCCCTCGGGTGCCGCCTCCCGCTGCTGCTGCTGGCGCTGCGTGCGTGGGCGGAAGGCGATGCCGCTTCCGAATGTGGTTTCGGCGCGTTCCGGATCGTGCTCCGCGCGCTCTGAGGCCGCCAGTGCATCTTGCACATCAGCTAGCGCCTGACGGGTGGGACATCGGTGGAGTTTGGAGGACGGGGGCCTTAGTAAGCCAGGCCGCCTCGACAGAGCATCAGCCGCATAGCTCGATAGCTGCATAGGGCGTCTTGTGAGGAGCGTGGTGGGGCGACAAGGTGACTTGCGGCGAACATGGCGTGATGTGCAACCGCTACCGTTAAGCATGACCTGCAATGACCTGACACAGCGAGGACGACCACAGCAGGCCTGCTCGCAATTGGAGCCGCAGCCACGGTCATGCTCCTCCCTCACGTCTTCCTCTCCTCTTACCTGCCGCATATCCGCATCCTCCCTCGCACCAGATCCACGCCACCCGGCCCCTCCGCCGCCGCCGCCTCGGTCCCCATGCCCCCTGCTGTCGCCGTTACGCCCATTGCGACCGTTGCGACCGTTCCCACGTCGGTCGCCGCCGCCAACCACCAACTCCTCGTCCAGTGTGTACATGGTGTAACGGTGCGGGTTGCGCACGTGATCCGGTACGAATCCACGGCGCTGCCAATCCAATCGTACTCGGCCGCCTCGGCCGCCGCCGCCACCTTGATGAATGGCGCCGCCGCCGCCGTCGCCGCCGGATGCCTCGCGATCGCGGCCGCCGCCACCGCCGCCACCTGGCCGGGTCATGGCAGCGCCGCCAGTGGCGGTGCCGTCGCCTTCTGCGGACCTTGAGAAGGGACAAACGGAGGCGGGTGTATTAGACAAGGAAAGAGTAATGTAGGAGCTACGGTATGTGGCTGTAGGGGTCAGCTGGTACGCCCCTTGAGCCTTACACTGCCCCGGACCTCCGTGCAGAAGCTTTAATCCACCAACAACACGCAGTCCATGTAGTATCCGCTCCACTCTTAGCCTCCCGAGCTCCAAATCCGCCCCCCAAAACCAAGGAACCCCGAGAAAGTCCGAGCCACCCGGCTACCCCCGCCCTGCTAACCTGCCCGCCTCCACGAAGTCCGCCCACTGCACCCTCCGCCCGCCCCGTCGCCTGGGCACCTCCGCCTCCGCTGGCGCCACTACCACCACCGCCGGCCCATCACCACCGACATCGCCCCGCCCGCCACCCAGACTGCCCGCGCCTGCCCGGACCCCCAGCTGCGCCCCCACCGACTCGGCCGTGCGCCCCGCAAAGCCGCCGCTGACCACGGGGGCGTCCCCCGGAGCATCCGGATCCACCCCGCCGTCCTCCCCCATGCAACCCAGCATCTCGGCGTCCCCCGTGGCCACGTCGCCACCGCCGCCACTGCGGTTGCTGCTGGTGGTGGCTGGGGGTGCACTGCTGCCGCCCGGCGCTGCAGCAGTAGCCGTGTCAGCGCTGCTGCCGCGCGGCCGCTTGCGGGAAGCCGAGGCGGGACTAGCAGTGCTGCTAGTGGTGGTAATGGTGGTTGTGGTGGGGTTTGTAGCGTCGGTTGGTGAGGTGGTTGCAGTACCGGTATTGCCAGCGCGGGCCGTGTCGACGTCCATGCCGGCAGCTGCTGCCTGGCCGGCGTCTGTCGTACCCTCGGCTACATGTACAGACTGCGACACCGGCCGCTCCGCCTCCATGTCCACTGCCTCCTCCTGATCCTCCAGCTGCTGCTGCAAGCGGCCATGCATGCGCTCCCAGGCGCTCGTCAAGGGGACCTGAGGAGTATCCCCGGGGTGGTGAAGTTAGGTGGGAAAATGACGAGCTACAAGCCGCGATGCTGTTTGTATTGTTGTCCTCACCGGTAAACATGTTATACATACGACACCACAGATGTGGCAGAGCATGGCTGACATGCGCACCCACATGGCTGACATGCGCACCCACCCGGACTGACCTCTGTCGAACCCGGCGGTTTAGCGTCCACAAGCCGGTTTCGCATGTCCATGGTACCGGTAGCGAAGCGGTCAAACTCGTCTTCTTCTGCTTCCGCCTCAAAGGCACGGCGCGATGTCAGCGATGCACGCAATCGCTCCCGCTCCCGAGCTGCCCTCTCCTCGGCATGTACACCGCCAATGCCTCCTTCCTCAGCGTCGGCTTCGGAATCAGCTCTTTCCAGAGGGGGCACGTCGTCGCGACCATTGCCATCGGCATTTTCGTCATCCGAGTCAACCAGGCGACTTGGCATCACGGGGCGCAAACCTTCATTGGGGTCCTCCTCGTCACTGCTGTAGTTGTATTCCTCTACTCCAGCGCCTGCTCGGAACGGCTGAACGTCCTGTCGCAATGACCATCCACCGGAGCCGGCGGCAAGACCTAACGACCCGAAGACAGCGTCAAGACGCGTTGTAAGACTCGCATCCTTAAGATCTGGCCTCTGTGCAATTGGTACTCCCTTCGACATTGCTAGTGCAGGCCGCTTGTGCCACGTTCAAGGAGCAAACAAATTGCGTGTCCCTTTTTACGTGCAGCAGTTTTTATTATAGCTAGTACGTAACACTGGTGCGATTAACTCGTATTTGCCCCGTCCAACGGTGTTGCATCAAGAACGAACTGAGGAGTCATGAAATCAGTTTCTTATCAGATCAACATTCAGCTCATCTAAGAGCTGCTACGTGACACTCGTACATCTATCATTTTTAGTCGTTGATAGAATTAAAGGGTCAGACGGTCAGCCCAACTCTGGTTCCGAAACCAGCGGCAAAGTACAGAGAGGAGCGTTAATTGGCGCATTAAGGACCTACAATAGTCAATGCGTTGCAGAGGGCACAACCCATGTCAATTCCTGATGAGCTACACAACGCGAAGCAGCTAGTAAGGCCTTGTACGGATTTTGCTTCGGCGCAAACCCTGCAATTGCTGAGACCCGCGGCAATGCCAATACACGCTGAAACTGCTCGGGTCGCTTACTCGCCGCTACATGTGCTGATACTACACGCACTAGTACATTGGTGCGCTGATACGGTACCGGTACACAAGGTGTGGAGGTTGGCCAAGCCTTGTCAACTTATCAACAGAGGGCGGTTGCCCCCTGTCAGGAACGGCATTATTCACGGGATAATGCGTGCACGCAGACATGCACACACCACACAGGCCGGTACGTCACACGCAATGGAACTAGCGCCTGCACACCCGTACTAGTCCCCCAGCTAGGAGCCGCCCAACATACACAACCAAAGACAACTCTATAAGTCTACATACCTCCAATCTTCAGGCTTCAACCATATAGATTTAATGACTGGCAATATTGATTAGACGACTAACCTATCTGCGGCAGCAACCAGGGCCCCATGCGTCAATAGCCGACGGTAGCCCCATGACCGCTGCCTGTACGGAACCGTACGACGATTAATTCGGCTCTTGGAACGACAGCTTCGACGAAACAGCCACAGCAGCTTCAATAGTTAAGACTACTCCAGAACGCTGATGGTTTTTGTGTTGGGGAATTTCAAGAAACAGAAAGCTTGTTCTTCTGACACACACCTATGCGCGCAAATGAGACCGTGCCAATACCTCTCTTTGCATGCATTCCCTTCCGTACCCTTCATAACAGCCATGTAACTGATGGTTCTGGAGATCTGGCGGTATTGGTGTCCCGTTCGTACGTCTGGTCCTTCAAAATTGTTTCCCGCCCAAATGGTACAACTACATGAGAGGGAGGGAAGGAACATGCATACGATGTCTATGCTCAACAACCGATGCACAACACGGGCTACCACTCAACCAACTAAGAAGCAAACAACTACGGTATTAAGCCAACCAACCATTTCACCAGTCAACCCGGTTGATAGCCCACGTAAATGCTTTCTTGAGCGCATTACCCTAGTCGACCTGCATGCAACCCGCAATGGCAACCTTCAATGCGCACATCGTGCATGCTTGCAGGGCAAGGAAGGCAGCAACGCCACTATCTACCATCATTACCTCCTGGAGGCGGCGGGTCGCTAAATACCATAACCATGCTACCGCACGTCCTCGCTATCCTGCGACAGCCCCTCTTTCCAAGTGATCGTCCTTCATATGCGACCATACTTGACTATCATTCCCTCTTGACTCGCTTCCCTGGCGCTGCAGCAGCTGCCGACTGGGCCTCCCTCAACAGGAACCGTTGCAAGGCTCGATGCTCTACCCCCGCAGTCACCGCGCAGTTCCCCAGCCGGATTCCAACCACCGCCAACAGCAGCTGTGGCCAAGTCAGACCGGGCTGTAAGACAGCCAGGAGGCCCGCCTCGCCGTACAAGTACGGCAGGCTAGCAAGCGCCGCCTTCCGTACACCCAGTTGTACAATCATGGGCTGGAGCAGCGTACGGAAGGCTAGAACGGAAACGGCAGTGTGGGCGTTTTTAACGAAGCCGTCGTTGGGGAGTGAGTAGCCCAGTTGGAGGCATGCTGAGCCCAGGCTGTACAGCAACGGGCCGGCTATAGCTGCCGTACATTCGTACAAGGTCATGGCCCGGCAGTAGCAGCTGTCCATTGCGCCCGGTACGCTGGCGGCGGCGGCGGCGCCACTCCGCAGACGATGCGATGGCTGCGTCGTACGAACCCGCCTAATGTACGACAGCAGTACGACATAGCAAAGCACATCCGACATCGTGTACGGCACGCCGCCGAGGATCTTCCGTACGACATGGGCCTCTCCTGAAGTGAGGGTCCGCAAGCTGGACACTAGGAACGGCAGCAGCAGCAGACATAGCATGGTGGGGGCGGAGCGGACCAGGCAGGCGGCACGCCACGCGCGATACTGGTTGGTGCTGCTGCTGTTGCTGCTGTCGATCGTGTTACTGCTGCGGTTGGTGCTGCTGCTGCCTACGTCAGGCCGGCAATCATCCTTATCCGCATGTTGCCGAGCTGAACCGCAGTCCCGACGAAGGAGGGAAACCCGGCGGCTGCTCTCGGTACCGGCACTGCCGCTGCCGCTTCTCTTGCTGCTCTTCCGGCTATCGCTGGTGGTGGTGCTGCTGCAACCGACGCCGGCGTCGTCGGCAGCATGCCCACCCTCAGCGTCAACAGCCACGTCAGCAGCCGACTCCTTAGTGACGCCACCCAGCGGGTGCGAGCGAAGTCGCCCAGTGCCTGCCGAGGCGGCTTCCTCCGCGGACCAGGACCCATCACCCGCGCCAGTGCCTGCATCACCGCCGGCGCCTGAGTCCGTGATGACAGCTTGCAGCCCTGATTCAGGCCCGGCCATGCAGCCAATGGCGGCGGCGGCCGCCGTCATGCCCGTACTTAACAAGTACGGCAACATGCCTGCCGCCACCTCCGCCGTACTCAGCAGCGTACGACAATCCGCCTCCGCTGCCTCCGCTGCCTCCGCCAGGTAAGCTAGGTCGTCCAGCAGAGGCTGGAAAGACTCGCTCCACGCTGTCGCCAACGCCGCCGCCGGGTACGACAAGGCCGGCGGCGGCGCCGTACCGCTGTCGCACTGTACTGCACCACAGCCGACCTCCCGTACGATCCGGCTCCACAGGTCGCCCACCTCCGCCGCCACCTCCGCGGGAAGCATCAGCAGCGGCGCCGTGAAGTGTAGCAGCGGCGTCTGCTGCAGGTCGCTCACCTCCGTCGCCCTTGTGGCGGAAACCGCTTCCTCAATGCCACTGCTGCAAGTGCACATTCCACCGCCGCCGCCGCTGTCGCTGCCCGAAGCCGGCCCAACAGCCTCAGCAGCACCACCGCAGCAATCGCCGCCGCGGATTGCAGTACCTTCGGCGGCAGCATGTAAGTTCGGACACAAGGGTTGGACGCTCGCTTCAACAGGAGTACCGTGGCCGTGCCTCCCCGACGCAACCAGCATCAGCTCCACCGATGTCCAGGAGCAGACAGGCGCCGTCGCGCCCTGTACGGCACTCAACGTCAGCAGCTGCTGTCGCCATCGCTGCTGCTGCTGCTCCCATGCCCCCGCTAGCACGCTCCCCACTTGCAGCTCCACCTCCTGCAGCCCAACATGCAGCTGTACGGCAAACTCCGCTAATACGACAGCGCCGCCGCCGCTGCCGCCGCTGCTGCCGCTGCTGCCATCACAGCCGCCACCGCCTCCGCCGGCGGGCGCCAGCACCAGCAGTCGCGCGCGTTGCGCTGTTGGGCTGTCCAGCATCAGCTTCACCGACCCACGGGTCACTGGCGACTGATGACCCGCTTGAGTGGCGGACTCCAGCAGCATCCCCTTGACTGCCGGCTTGGGGCGAGCCATCGTGTACTCCTCCCTGGTGGAGTCTGTGGAGGCCTCCAAGGTCCGCGGACGCAGCAGCGGCAGGGCAGGCGGCACCATCTGCACCAGACGTACGACCGCCCGGGAGGCGGCGGTGGACGTGTTAAGAGTCGCCGCCGCCGCCGCAACCGTCACGCCGCCGTCGCCGCCACTGGAGAACAACATCGACGGCGGCGCCTCCTCTCCTCCCATGTCACCAGCAGCCCCTGCTCCTCCTCCACCTCCACCTCCTGCTCCTGCTACTCCAGCCTGAATCGTCCAGCCTCGTAGGTCATCCCCATCAGGCAGCGCGGACTGCAGTTGAGCCAAACGTACGGCATCCCACTCCACGGCACTGCCCCATGCGCCGTCATCGCCACCTCCAGCGTCACCCCTGCATGGGCCCCCGTCGCCTCCACCAACACCATACGGGGCTAACAGACCGTGCGGGCTCAAAGCAGCGGCAGCAGCCGCCTCCTGTTGCTTGCTGTCATGTTCCGGGGGCAGCGGACAGCGGAGACTGCGGCTCCAAGCGATAAGCTGCACGCATCCGCGCACGCAGACTGCACGAGTAAGTACGGCAGCCGCCGTGGCAGAGCCGGAGGCCGCACGTCCGCCCCCGTTGCCGCCACCGTCGTCGTCGTTGGGGCGCCGGTGGTGCAGTAACGATCCAGCCATGAGCTCCGGGGCCGCAGCGACGAGGCGGCGGCTGTATTGCTCAAAGGTCCCCGGATGCTCCTGTATCTGCGTGAGGACGTTTGCTTGCGTTTGCAATGAGTTCGAGGTTTGGGGTGTAGATTGAAGCACGGCAGGAGTAGGACCTTGTAGGGCCTTAACAAATAGAGCAACAGCGGAGCCAACTACAGCGCGAGGCAGGCAGCCAATCCTCCAGGAATCTGGCTTTCCGCGCTGTCCTGGCCCTGGCCTTACCTTGATAGACATGTAACGCAGGCTGGTCAAGCTGCGGTAGCCGAGAACAGACTTCCTGTGGGGCGCAGCGGCGGCAGCAGCAGTGGCGGCGACAGAAGCTGTCGCGACATTGCGGCAGGGAAACACAGTTGTGGCGGGGCTTGAGGGGCTCGTGGCGGCAGAGATGTTGCGGTTGCCGCAGGTCATGAAAGCGGCAGCTGAGGCGGTCGTGATGGCGGAAGCGCCGACGCCGCCGCCGACGCCGCCACCGATGCATGCGGAAAAAGCGGTGGTGGGAGCGATGGTGGCGGCGGTGCCGCCGCTGTCAAGGCAGGTTGCCGTGGCGGCAGCTTCAACACCAACAGCGACGGGAATGGGGGCACTTCGGGCAATCCTGGTGGCGGCGTTGGCGGCGCTGTCGTGGTGTTGGGCGCTGTTGGATCCGGCGGCGGCGACGATGGCGGCGGTGGCGGCGTCTCTTTCCGGGGCCCCGCGGACGCGTGCAGATTCGGCTGGTGCAGCGATTGCGGCG